CGGAGGACACTCCGTCTCGTAACCGTTTCCTGTCGATAAATCGGCCATTTTTCTCGAACACTCTGTATATCTATTGCAGTCTGCTAGGTCCGTGCCGCAATTTTTCCGAAAACACAACGTCGTAATAGGTCAGTTTTAAATATCGGACGAGAAGTGGGAAACATAAAACTAAAAACGTTAAAACAATAATGGGATTCCTATTTTTATTGAGATCGGGCAATCAATGTGCGAGTATATCGGATACCTGTCACATACAATCTGTGTGGTTCTAGGTATCTTGAACATACATTTATATAAATTTATCGATAAGATATGATAATATTTTTGTTGGTAACACGGGAATATATATTGACAGGTGCCCCTATCAATAAGTTAAATATTTGGAGAATAATGCACGCGCTGTATACAGGACGAAGCGCTCTACTAATAATTTATTTTACTTGTCTCATCACTGAAACTGATCTAGATTTACCACACACGAAACTACTTTGATTCAATATTGAAATACTATTTTGGACTTTCATTTTCTTTATATTTAATAATTTAGTGTAATATTTTTTGTTTGGTTGTCCAAGACTGGACAATTTTGGGAAGTCAGAAATGCATCCCCTGTTAGTAATCTTTATCTAAAGTCTATCCAATAACAAATAGATAACAGTGACAGAGTTGTTATTATTTTAATTCGAAGGTAAATTTTACTGTCTTGTCATTTTTTTGATGTCGTACTGTCAAAATCTGAGGGCCTAAATCTGTTAAAATATTTTCAGATGAATATTATGTGTATCTGGATGGAAGTATAATAGGTCCCAGATGTACTAGAATTATAATATGTTAACTTTGATGAAGTATATAGACGATTAGTATAATCAGACTATATAAAAACACTTAGTTAATGGCATTTATCCAATAAGTATATGAAGACTTTTTAACATGAACCGTTTTTCAAACAAGACGAACATGTTATTTTGATTCACCCTGTACAGGGTGGGTCAAATTCGACGCTTTTAAATGGAAACACCCTTTTCTATAGGAGATAGACAAAAACTAATATCGGTGTCTGGAGCTCAATTTTTGTTAAAAACGTGATGGCGAAAACCGCATATCGATATCTGTTACCGTTTCGGAGTTACGGAATGTTTTTCAAAAAAATGCATTTTTAATAAATCGCTGTAACTTTTTTGCTATGGAAAATTTTGTATTTTAATGAAAACATTTCCAAAGCAACTTTTTACGTAGAATTTAATGGTTTAAGTATAATCTTTTTAAAATTAATAATTTAAGAATTATCAACAGAAAATTTGATTTTTTATATGGGACACCCTGTATATTTGTAATTTATTGAAAAAAATTTAAAATTACCTTTTCAAAAATATAACACACTTGATATTTTGCTCGATTCCTCTTCGAGATATAGAGTATATAAAAATTCGCCCGCTTTAAATAAGTAGGCTTTGAACGGGGCACCGGCTGTAATGCAAAAAAAATCTAGCTGTGAGCATCAATTAAAACGAAAATAATATTTGCTATGAGAGATGCAGAATTTTATAACAATTTAAAATATATTTAACCAACACAACACATTTAAACTATATCTAATAACAATAAAAATAAATAGCAAACCAAGGCATGAGATTTTGCTACAGGTGTTCGACATATCAACCGTCTTCTGTTATGGACAGACGGGGCAGTTTTTGAACATTTCTCGCGAAATTCATTAACTCAATGGGGGTGAAAGATACCCTCTCATAACTGCTAAGTATTTTTAATTCTTGTCTAGATTATACGGAAAAATAAGGAACCTTTATTCTTCCGCAAATATATCCATAGGATTAGATCCATGGGCACTAAGTCAGACGGCCTCTCGGCGGCCAACGGCTGGGATCTTGGTTAGCTCTCCAATTATTCTTGAAATTGGCTGCAAAAATTTGCTGATAACTTCAGTGTTCAGAGGCGGTGCGTCGTCTTGTTGGAAAAATATGTTTTCGAGTTCCATTAAGGGCATATTGTCAATAAGGGGTCCATAGCCTACTAGTTAAAAGTGGCGAACTTTTAAAAATTCTGTATTTCGAAGGGGATTATAACAAAATATCAAGTGTGCTATATTTTTGGAAAGGCAATTTTAAATTCTTTTCAGTTAATTAAAAATATAGAGGGTGCCCCAAATAAAAAATCAATTTTTCTGTTGATAACTCTTAAATTATTAAAAAAATTATACTTAAACCATTAAATTCTACGTAAAAAGGTGCTTTGGAAATGTTTTCATAAAAATACAAAATTTTCTATAGCAAAAAAGTTACAGCGATTTGTTAAAAATGCAAATTTTTGAAAAACACCCCGTAACTCCGAAACGGTAACAGATATTGATATGCAGTTTTTACCATCATCTTTTTGATGAAAATTGAGCTCCAGACACCGATATTAGTTTTTGTCTATCTCCTATAGAAAAGGGTGTTTCCATTTAAAAGCGTCGAATTTGACCCACCCTGTACAAGAAAATAAATATGTATAGGAAAACGTAGGATATATTTTGATTGAAAGAATCGTCTTCCGATTTATTTTTGCGCTACTTATCTACTTTAACTCTGAATATTATCGCATTTTTAAATTTCAATTTAAATTTTAAGAAATTTATACAAGGTGTCCTTATATTCCGTGGACGTATTTTTGAAATCAAAAAAAGTTTATTGGACTTTACCTCTATATAAAAGTGCTTTCATTTGTGCGTTAGAGAGCACCAATCAAAAAAATAACTAGAACATTATATACTTAAGATTTAACATTTATAAAGCTATTATTATTATACACAGGGTCCGGCAATAGTGCGCCGGGCATCTGTAGCTTCTAGAATAAAAAACTTGAGATGTATTTCAGGAAAATATTCTAACTTCTATAGGGTGGCTCAAAAAAGCGTGAGTGGATCTGGATGATTTGTTTTAAATGGAACACCCTGTATATTATTGCATTTTTGGCTTCCTTTCAGATCACTTTACATAATCCTAAGATATGAGTAAATATATTTCGACAGTTTCAGAGATATTAATAAATAAATAAAAAATATATATTTTTCAGCCTTTCTTAAAAAAAATGATTAAAAATACAAGAACTGTCCTGAAATCAAAACTATATTAGATATTTACTTTAAATGGTCTGTACTTACTTTATTATAAATATGGTAATCGTATATCATTTTTTTTTTAGAATTTAGAATAAGTGGGAGGGGGTTTAATCTCTGCGACCTTAGAGATCTATTGTGTCCCCCTTTCTTGAGTTATAACTCATCATACAGTCCCAGGACTTCCTACGGAGACCCGTGTCCCTCACAGTCGCGGAGCTACGACCCAGGCCAGGTTAGACGAAACGGTAGCTTGTGTCGCCTGTTGGGTTTAGAGGTAGGAGGTAGGCTCCCGACCCTTGGAGGAGGTGGTAGCTTCTATGCCACTTGCGGAGGATGGTCTCACGCAAGTGTCAGCCACCTCTCCTGTAGTTCTCTTTGGGTTTGGCCCCTTGGAACTTTCATTGTTACTGTTCCGAATGTCGCTAGGGGGTTTCCCCACAGCTTCACCGGTGATGTTTTTATTACTATTATTATCAGATCTCATAGTGTTTCTATGAGTCGCTAGGGACAGTCGGTCCACTTCTACAGAGCCCCGCATGTAGAAGTAAGGGGTAAAATACAATGCGGTGCCCCCCGGTGCCCCAAGGTTGAGGCTGTCCATAGCCCCGCCCGGTATCGTTATATATCTTGGTGCAATTCCCTGGCCACGACACTACAGTCAGGGACAAGACGATGAGTGAGATGCTTCTTAGACCAAGCCAAGTGCTAGAGGGGATTCCCCCTAGCACCTGACCAGGAGCTTCCCCACCAACGACAAGGTCTTGCATCTCCTAGGGGAAGATCGTATACCATACAGGAGGTTCAACATTTTTACGCCAAACTTTCTAAAATATGAAATAATTTTTCTTTGTTTTTTTTTTAAATGGAACGCCCTGTATCCCAGGGTGTTCTATTTAAAAAAATCATCCTGATCCACCCACACTTTTTTGAGCCACTCTATAGAAGTTAGAATATTTTCCTGAAATACATCCTTGTACATACTTTAGGTTTACACTTAAACAAAATTTCCAAGTTTTTTTTATTCTTTATTCTAGACGCATTATTGCCGGACCCTGTATATATTTTACTTTAGTATCATTTGTCATATTAACATAAAATTGCAATTATTCGCCAATCAGATTATTAAATCTCATTCAAATCGGAATATCGGTTTTTATATCTGAAAAATGTATTTAGTTTTTAAAAGTTTAATGCCCCCTAACACAACCTAACCTAACCTTACCATCACCTCCTTCATGTCTTTATACAGGGTGTCCCAGAAATAAGTGCAAGTATTTTAAGGGGTGATAGATCTCGATAAAAGAATCGTTTTACAAATACTTAAGTCCAAAATAACGGCGTTATATGTTACTTTGAAAATTTAAAAAAAAAATATTTTTTGCTAAAATTTTGAGAACCACTGGATCTTTTCTGGATTTTCTTTCTTGTAAATTTAATCTACTACCTGTTGCCTTGTTATCAAGATATTATGTTTTTTAACTAAAAACAAAAAAAAAATCAAAAAATAATGCGAATTTTTTTTTCCGAAAAAAAACTCATAGGCGTGTTTCTGGGGTTGAACTATATACTACCAGTTAAAATACTTGCACTTATTTCTGGGACACCCTGTATAAGGAATACTCTGTGCGTAGGTATAGAATTATAGATTTACATTTTATTTTTTATATCTAAATTATTTGTTTGTTACTTTTAAGCAATTTTTTTACTTATGTGATGACTTGATGTAAAAAAAAGTTACTGCTGATCTGATATAAATAATAAAAAGAACATGAACAGGTGTATTTCAAAGATATTTAGTTGTGTTATATTTGGTAGTTATCCTGGATAAATTTTACAGCCTATTGGTAGAGTAGACATACTAAACACACCCCAAAATAAACAAACATTAACATAACTTTTTATTTGTCTTTTAATAAATACATTTTTAAGTTTAATAAGGAACATAACCATTTTGAGCTGCCTGGTACAAATCAGCTCACATAATACTCATTTAAATACTGCACTTAATCAGCGTAATTCTTTCAAACAAATTAGAATTCATCATGGAAAGATAATTTTGGTCCCTTCTTCAGTTTTTTCTTTTTCTTTTTGGCTTTCTTCATTTCTTCTTCTTTCTCTTCTTTCATTTTTTGCTTTTTCCGATAAGGATTGATGTAATTTGAGTCTCTTGGAACATGATTTAGTTCTTGGCTCACTAGTGCAAATACTTTTATGGTATTATCATCCAACAAATACCTGACCTGATAACAATAACCAATTCCCCACTGTAGTAAAATATCCCAATTATTATTAGTTTTCAAAACAGCAGTAGATATATCTGGAAAACGAAGAATTATTTCGGAAAACAATGCAGTGTTTTCAATAATATTTGAGAGGGCATCGCGAATTTTATCTTCAAGAGGAAATTCAGATACACCAGGGATAAATGGTGAAGACTCAATGATAGCTCGACTGTCTTGAATAACGGTAAATACTTTTTCAGCCATAAGATTTATCATCTGATATTGTTTTTCATAATTCTTGATTTTTTGAAAACTCTTAATTGCAGCTAACTGTTCGATGCGTTGTCTTTTTAACAATTCTTTATCTGGGTGTTATGTTAAGTATGTATAATATATATAAATCATAATTAAGATATTATCTAATTTCTAATTATTGATTTTTCAAAGGATACAAAGTTTCTCAGCCATTTCTGATTTACTTTCCAATTGACTGCTAAAATTAGTACACAGAAAAATCATAAAAATAATACTGGTTAGCACTCTTATAAACATTTTATAATTAAAAAATATCTGCATTCTGCATCATTGCATTTAAGTATCTTCTGTAATCACTGTATCTTCAGCTTTATAAATAAGCACATAACCCCTAATGCCCTAATTCCTCTAAAAAAGAATAAAATATAAATAATTTATAATGTTCATTATACAAATAAAATTATGCACTGGGTTATTTGATTAATTTCACCCTATGATTTCACCTTTAAAAGATCATAACTTCGAAAATGTATTTCTCATAAAAATAAACAATGATTACACCCCTGTTTATCTAGTTGCCTAAAATTTAAAAGACGCCAAAAAATGACAGATATTTATGACATCTGTCCAAAAAGAAAAATAATGCGAAGTGCGACATGGCGGTTATTCGGGATATCGATAAAGCATTATTTCCTATAAAAACTATAAATACTGTTGTGAAATTGTTTACAAGTCAACTGGAAGGATGTAGCGAGCCCGATTTAGCCCTATTATCAATCGTTACCGGCTTAATCGAAAATCAACTGACAAGCCGGTCGAACGCCGTTCAACTTCCAGATTCGCCGGAAACAAACGTTTTACCACGATTCGAACTGGAAACTGTGGAAAATTTGTACAACAAATTTCATCTAGTTATCACAAGTTCTGTGGAAACTAATAAAACCAAAGCCTACGCTACAAGGGATCTGGTGAAAAGAGTCTCAGATGTGATATGGAATAGTCTGACAAGAAGTTATTATAAAGATAGACCTCATCTACAAAGTCTTTATAGCTACCTCACTGGCAGTAAATTGGATTGTTTTGGTGTTGCCTTTGCCGTTGTTGCTGGATGCCAAGTATTGGGATACAGTGACGTACATTTAGCATTATCTGAAGATCATGCTTGGGTTGTATTTGGTCCTAATGGCTCAGGTATGTAGTTAGCTATATCATATAGCATATGAATGATTATGAGCAATTGTAATAATTACCAAATATATTCAATCTAGAAAATGCCGAGATAACTTGGCATGGTAAAGGGAATGAAGACAAGAGAGGACAAGAAATAGGTAAAGGTGTCTCAGCTCGATCTTGGCTCTATGTTAATAATAAACCTGTGATTTGTACAAGACATATGGAAGTTGCAGCATTGGTTTCTGCAATAAACCCAGCTTTAAATGCAAATGTTGATGCTTCGGAAGTAGCCATGCTTCAACAAGAGTTACTTTGGTTACTTTATGACTTAGGACATCTTAAAAAGTATCCTATGGCTATAGGTATGAGGAAAATATTAATTATTTGTAGTTCTACAGTGTTTTATATCTTAGGAAATCTCGGTGACTTAGAGGAAATTTCTCCAAAACGTTCAGATATTCCTTGTAGTAGTTTATTTGAGGAAGCTATAGAATCAGCCAGAAAATACTACAACAATCAACATGTATATCCATACACTTATCAAGGGGGCTATTACTACCGCAACAACATGTACAAAGAAGCATTTGAAAGTTGGGCAAATGCCAGTGATGTAATAAGACTGTATGTGATTATTAAGATGTATTTTACAGTTACTTGTTAATTGACATATTATTATTTTAGATACAATTACTCTAGAGATGATGAAGAAATTTACAAAGAATTTCTCGAAATAGCTAACGAGTTAATCCCCCAAATAATGAAAGCTGAAAGTTCTGGTTTTGAGGCAAACACAATCTTAAAAAAACCTCAGTGCTTTGCTAATCTGTTAAAATTTTATGACGGTATATGTCAGTGGGAAGAGGGTAGTGCTACTCCGGTCCTTCACATTGGCTGGGCCAAACCTTTGGTTAATACAATATCAAAGTTTGATTCTGATGTCCGAGCCCAAGTCAACATTGTGTGTGATGAAGAAAAATTGATGAAAAAGAATGGGTCTTATTTTAACAATAACAATAATAATTACGAGAAGGAAAATACAACTGTGATACCAAAGTTGAATGTTAAAGAGCAGTCGACCTCAAATTTCCATCCTACAATTGAAGCCTTAACTGCAGCTTGTTCGGAGAAAATTTTGAATCCTGAATACTTGCTTCAAGGAGATGGGTCTCCATTTGTTGGTATGTTATGCTTGTAGTATCATTAAAATAGGATTTTAATAAAAAATGGATATAATGGATAACATTCATTCCTATGTGATTATATAATGATAATAATAAATAGTCTTATCCATTCAAAAAATGGGAATCACAAAAGGCCAAGTTGAAGTAACAATTCCTTTCTTAACCTATATTGCAGAAAACTATATTATATTTAGTAATTAAATCTATTAACCCTCAAAGAAACCCTGCTATAAATTTTATTTAAAAAAAACTTCCTATAAATTCTAATCCAATATTTGAATAACTAAATTATTTGAACTTATAAATATTGTATATAGATATTTACAATACAAGTGAGTTAACAGCATCATTAAGATACGCGTGTGAAAGTTACACGAGTGTGTAGCACGAGTTGTGTAGCCACACAAGTATCTTAATGGAGTTAACTCGCGTGTATTGTACAATATTTTATCCAGACCACGCTTTTACAATGACCAGAATGGTATTACCTACTAATTATTAAATTATTATTACACATAAAATACTAAAAACAGTTCAGAAGAATACAAAAGCTGCTTTTATCAGCCTATGAGTTCAAAAAAAAATTAGATGCCAATCTAATCTAGAAAAACCTAAAATTTCATTTGTAAACTTTATGACACACCTTGTATAATTAGTTTTTTAATAAGAATATTATCCTGTTTGTGAGAACGTGCATATTTTACAGGAGGATTTCAAGAGCAAGAATTAACAGATATTAAAATAAAAGTTGAAAACGAGGAACAAATTTCAGACACTGTTTTGGAGGGTAATTTATCCAAAAGCATTATTGGTGTATTTATTTTTTTTTCTGTAGAGTTGTAAAATGTCATGTCATCTTTATTTGTTTTTTAGAACTAGAAATTTGAATACTTTACATACTTAAAATTTAATAAAATATTTTACAGGAGTCGAAACATCTCTATTGGAAAATGTCACCTGTGACGTGAAGCAAGAAACTTTCGGTAATTTTTTGTAATGCTTGTGTTTCGATGTCTTTTTCTTTGTTTGTTTTTAAGTTAACAGTAACCACAAGCATGACAACCACGTATATTTTCTTCATTGAACTAAAGATAAATTTTATAATATTAAAAAAAGATTCCTAAATGTTTTTTTTTTGTATTTCAGGCGGAGAATATACAATACCGATACAAAAGAAGGAAGAAGAGAAGGAAAATGGTAAGCCAGGACCGTCCAAGCCCACAGAACATTTAGTTCTAAAGGAAGAAGAAAATGAAGAGAACGAACTGAGGTTGAAGAAGCCTACGGTTGTGTTGCATAGTCAGAAGATGAAAGAATTGAAGGATCTCCTTCTTGCTGAAAAATTAAATACTCACGCCATTTCGTTACATCTCACTGCACAGTCACAGGTAAACATAGTTCATTTTCTTTATTAATAATTGTTCAGATTAGTATAGTTTATACAAGGCGTCCCAATTTTCCGTAGACAGAGAACTACTACATATTTTTGGATTCAAAATAAGGGCATTAGAAACTTTACCTCTATACAAAAGTGATTCGCTTGTCCGTTAGAGGGTATCACACTTTAAAAAAATAAACATATTTTCCAGATATTTTAAGAATCGTTATTCCGATTTGAATGAGATTTGGGGTGTCTATGTTTTGCTAAGTGCTATAACATTTGACTTTCACAAAAATCAAGAAAAAGTACGGGACGAAACTATCCCCACCCCTACATAAATATTTTCCAAATCCACTGACCGCCGATTTTCTTTTCGTAAAATGGTCCTTCTAGTATTTACTATATTTTTTGTCTCTTGTAAAAAAACGCCACATTGCATAGTCTTTTAGAGAAAAAAAATTTTTGGAGAATTTATTTTTTCAAAGTGAACATACAAAATATACAGGGAGTTCCAATATTCCGTGGACATAGAACAACTACGTATTTACTGAATCAACATAAACAAGTTAATTGCACATAAGTTACCTTTATACAAAAGTGCCTCGTTTGCCCGTTAGGGGGCAATCAATCAAAATTAACGTTAATTAAATTAAATTTTTTTATTTTTTTAAAGCTTTTTATGAAGCTTATTGTGAAATATACTTTGTGATACTAACATAAAATTCCATATTTTCGGCAACTAGATTATTAGAGCTTAAGTCAGCTTTGGAATGAAAAATATTTATACTAAAATTTATGTAAGGGTGGGGTAGTTTTTACCCTTCCGGTACTTTTTCCTGATTTTTGTGAAAGTCAAGTATTAAAGCACTTAGCAAAACATAGACCCCCAAATCTCATTCAAATCGGAATAACGGTTATTAAAATATCTGGAAAATGTGTTTATTTTTTTGAAGTTTAATGCCTCTAACAGACAAACGAAGCACTTTTGTAAAGTAAATTGTGTCCAATGAACTTATTTTCATTCCAAAAATACGTAGTAGTTCTATGTCCACGGAATATTGGGACACCCTTTATAATAATTTTATGATGCTTCTAATAGTCACTAAAGGCTCAAACTCACTGACGACCAGGTCGCAACGACCTGGCCGTCGCCGTCGGCTGGCCGGATGTAATGCGTTTATAGCTGCGGCCAAATGAACGACCAGTTTCAACAGAGTTGTCAGATCTAACGATTTTTTACGTTTTACCAATTAGAAAATATTGTTTCAGAAAGAATTAAGTTTCAGAAATGTTAAAATATCCGAGTTAACTAAAAAGCGAAGTTGCTATTCATAAGCTTATTAAATGTTCTAATATTAAATAATGCATTTAAAATATTCTTGTATTTTTCGTTAATAAATACTGGTGTGGTAAATGGAGTAAGTAAAATATCCAACCCCGACTACACGATAACGTCGTTATTTCCATGTTTTTCAAATCCGCGATGCCTGCCATTCTGACTGATGATCAGTCGTTTCATAACAGAATATTCTACATCCTACGTCTATGTAATTTAATATGTGTAGAGTGAGACATGTAACTCGTGAGATTTTCAGCATTATATCAATAAAGGACAGATACAGTATTGTTCCTAAAGGTGCGTCCAGACTTGAGCATTTTAGCCCGAACGAACCGAGCGCGCACGAACAAGCAGAACAAATAGGCCGAACAAAAAGCATTGTGTACGCGCGACCGACAAAAATGGAGATATTCTGTTGCTTTTTTCTACTGATATGGACTTCTACTGATGGCTCTTATCGACTTTAGAAGTAAACATATTAGGGCCATCGTAAAAAAAGGTCGTCAGACACTGGCTCTAAATATAAGCAGGTAGAACGTTTAGCTTCCAGTTATTTCAATGTTTACAATATAATTCCTCTTTTTTATTGTTACTGAGAATCTACAACAGTAAATACTTCTATTTTTATGAATGTTTAAGTTACTTTTACTCTTAATTTTTTTTTAAAAAATAATGTACCTAGTAAATATAGTCTAATGGACCCTGTTTAAAAAACGTTACATTAAATATAGTATTTAAAATACAGTTGTCCTCTTTGTACATGACTACAATACAACTAAAAAAATTAATTTAATAAAAAAAACAAGTGGTTGTAGAAAAACTTTAAATATGATTATTTTTATTTTTTAATATCGAAACTCGAAGGTATAATAACAGGTATCATACCAACCATAAATAGAGTATGTCATATAAAAATGTTTTGAATTTTTACTAGAATCGACCGTTGATAAAAAAAGGGACTAGATTTAAGTTTCGACTAGATTTAAGTTTCAAACGACAAAAAAGGGACTAGATTTAAGTTTCGACCAACGGACGGCCAGGACGTTAGTATGCGCTGTATCATTTGATTTAATGGTTTTAGAGGTAGCAGCGGCCTGGCCGGTACGACCTGGTCGTCAGTGTGTTCGAGCCCTAATATACACGGTGAGTCATAATGAAAAAAAAATCCACATCAATTTTCTTATTTAAGATTCTCACTTGAATAGGTTTTGTAAAAAAAAAACAGGAATGGCAGAGCATATTTAAAATGGCATTTTTCAATTATATCCAATTTACAATCGACATATGTATAGTATTTCCGAAATCAATTGGAAGTACTTTTAGTTCCTTTGCTAAATCCAGTACCGAAATTAAGTGTCCAATCTATTTCAATTGACTTCACAAAAACTATATCTTCGTGTCGACGGGATAGATACTTTCTGGAAGCAATTAAACATTTGGAATGTCAACTGTTAGGCAGAAAATAAACAAAAACATTGCCATATTTCTAATCCTTATCAGGACCGCCCTGGTTAAAATAGATATTAACATCAACACCTGGGTAAAGTTGTTAAATCACTAGTTTTTCTACAGCTTCTCAATATTGTCCAAATCGTTCGGATTTTACGTTAATGGCCTACCAATAACTACAATGTCCAACCTAAGATTGACTGATCAATACTATTAAATGCTCGTTTTACATCTTTGCCCATCTGACAGATATACAGCATTTTTTCTATTAGGTACAAGTGGGTAAAAAAGGAAGAGAAGGGGATACTTCTGTCCGACCTAAAAGAGCTCGAAGGGAATAATCTCAATATATACCCATAAAACTATGTACGCTTCAAGGTGAGTACTTACTTAGAGCCCAGGGGCATTAGGTCACATAAAGGATGCAATACAATCTCTAATAATCAAGTGTAGTGCTTAAGATTTGATGTCTACCTGTATTTCAGATTGTTAAATACCAGATTCTCATTTACCAAGTTCCCAAGGCCGCCAGACCGTAATTATTTTCTCACAAATACAATTTATGAGATAATGTGGTATTTTGGCAAAGAGGATGAGGCGAATGAAATTAGAGAGAAAGTAACATCCTGCCACATTAGAGGGAAAAAGTACGTTTTGCGTCACGTGATCTATTTTCAGCTGATATCTTAACTTAATGTTCTGTAAGGTCAGCCTAGGGTATAAATCGAGAATAGAGCAACGTTATCAGTGCTGCACCTTTAACCACAGATAATTTATAAATACAAAATATTTATTGTGTTATTTTGAGAACGAATACCTTCCTCGGTCATAGAAATATTGTTTAACCCATTATTATTAGCAATTAATAATAATATACCCTGCTGGTCATCCAATTTATGTTGTCTGGATTTTAATGCGAGTGACTGAGAATAATATAAACGACTGGTTGGCAGACAAAGAGACAAAATCAAAAGCGACATACAGTGTCTTGTTTGGTTTGGTTTGGTTGTGAAAATATATTAAACACCGTATGATTTTAAAAAACGGTGTCCAGTGGTCTTGAAAATGACGATCGATGACATTCCCTAATATGCCTAGTCTTTGCAAAATGCTGAATTATTTGATACGCCTGCGCGATTTACATTTCAAAACAAGAGCTATGTTAAGATACTATAGGCATATATAAGTATATAATTATGTATGTTGAAATGACCTAAAAATATATTCAATTTATAGGTAATATCGAGCAATTTTATTATTAAACGTGGCAACATCGATTTTTTTGCTCGAATTCCTGTTGCTGTTGTAGATCCATTTGTTAGATAATACATTATCCCATACATTACCATTTGTGATCTCGCGGCCCTGGGATCTTGCTCTATTAGAATATTTTTAAACAAATTTATTTTTTTAATATCTTTGACGATTTTGTGTAGAAGACTAATGGACATACATCATTTTTCTGCATTACAAGTTGTAGTTGATTATACTTGCCATTCTTATCCCATATGTTAGATGTTTTTAATTATTATAACCAGTATTAGCATTGCAATGCAAAGAACTGATGTTGAAATTTTATTTTTAAGACTTCTTACGTCACTTTTGCTGCACCAATAGAAAATTACACTACATTGTGTAATGGATTTAAGAGCTATGAGCTCATTTAAGTGATACAAATTTTTATTTTATAGGTTTAATTTAATGTTTAGGTTTTAGGTCCCAATTGCACATATAGTTGATTTTTTCTAGTAAATCCCTGAGAATATTCTGTAGTTTTTCTAGTTTTATATTCCTTAAATTGAAAAAGGTGTGAAACTAAACTTCTATACAGGATATTGCTATAAAATTTGCAACAATGAGATTTTTTTATTATTGAGTTGTTGAAAATAATTTTATGTGGAGTTACTTCAGCATAGCCAATTAAAAAATTGACGTACGTTATATGACAACTGTCATGGTGATAAACTACAAAAGTCCTTTTTAGACAAACAAGAAGTAGGTTGGAATCATATACGTATCAAATCTATACGGATCATCGCCTATCCCTGCAATGTGTTGGAGTTGAAGCCGAGTTAGAGACAACTAGATAACCGGTCCATGTATATTTCACATAATTTCGTCTGTTAGAAAAACGCTGGCGCAATAGCGCAACTCCAAAATTCCGAATATCGATTAGTTTTAGCTTGGCCTTGTGGAACGCGTGGTCGAACGGGAGCGCAAACACGATCCTCATTTCTGTGCCTCATTTCTTATTCAACTGTTTTTGTGTTCGCATCGCGAACGAAGCGCGAACGAAAGCCGTACGAAGCTGTACGAATGAATAGCTTATGCTCTGATTGGTTTAGTTATCCGATCGATAATTAAAAATTCACGCTTGCGCGCAACGCTTGTGCTCCACTAACTGAGCAAAGATTTATATACCCATTTCACCGGCTCGGCTTCACAGAATGCAGTTTGGAGTCAATATACGTTAGTTAATATATATATATATGGTTGGAATATATCAAGAAATTGTCAAAGAAAAAAATTGCGTATATTTTTTCGCTAAATTGGCACAAAACAAATAAACATAAAAATTCAACAAGAATAAGTTTTAAATTATTTTCTATTTACAGTCGTATTTTAAAATACCAAATTTAATAACTTAGTAAAAAAAAGCAACTAACCTAACCTTTTTTATGTCAAATTTATTCCTAAACAACTTTTTCGTTTTTGATATTTTGTTACTTAACCCTAGGTTTAGGTTATTAATGCTGAAGAAATTCTGTATAACCTTTTTTTTTCAGTAACTCTATTATAAAGACATCCCACTTGTTGCGAACTTTTTGGCACACCCCTTATGAAGACACAGTTTATATTATAACCTTGCGGCTAGGTTATATCAATTTTTATTTTATTTTAAATGGCTTTAACCAAATAATTAACTTACAAAAATTGTAAATATTTCTATTCTTTTTAGTTTTTATTTTTTCCACGAAAAAATGTTTTAATTTTTCAAAAGTTTGACACACCAAGTTAAAAGGTTCATCACTGACCGGCATGTACCTACTGATTTATTTCACAATTTGCAAACCTTTATATTCGTTTTACTTATTAAATTTGAACGTATCAAAATTCGAAGATATTTCTCAGTGACTTTACTAGTAAAATACTAAATATTGCTTAAGCTTTTTGGCACATAAAACATGTTCGCCACTATATGTATATATGGAGGACGGGAGGATGAAAATCATTTACCCATTAAACTTAGGTTTACGCTCGTTGACATTCCCTTATTTGTGATTAGATCACATAATTTAATTTGACATTGTTGATCGTTTTTGTTGTATATAATAAGTTTTTAAACCGTTTTACACGCATTTTATGTCGAAACTATTTCTTTGTATATTTTAATTTATTTTATTATTTACTTTTTACACTTTAGTATAATTTACATCACCTTGTAGTTTTTTCATTATGTTAGAATTTTTAAAAACTAGTAAATGGGCAAATATTAGTAGCAATAAACAGTTTCAGTGCTGTGGTAATAACATATAAATACTCCTATGAGACTAGTATATAATAATACATAAAGCAATTCGCCCGCCAAGACAATGAAATAGAAAACCGTAGATAGTGGGGATATACATATGGGAGATAAACCTACTATCTTCTCATCACCATTGTATATCGCAATATATTGTGCGTTTTTATGGATGTTTTGCCAGTAGTATTCTATGTTTTTTTTAACATTAATGTTAATGTTAAACGGCCCGATACATAACAATAACGAGTTATCGTTATTGTTATTGTTAGATAAATAACAATAACAATGTTAGATACATAACAATAACGATTTATCGTTATTGTTATGTATCGGGCCATACTTGCCTAAAAACACAATTAAAATTAATAAAATATCCTGGCAACGGCTGCGGCTTGCGGTAGTCTGTTGTATCCATAGAGAAAGCATAATATTTAGCTTATAAAACCTTTGAATAAGAAGACTAAGGAAGGAGCATAATGCTATCCATGTATTCATGCATGGTGGGCGGAAAAAGGACTCTAGGGTGGGGATCCTTGACAGTTCTGTTTGACGATTCATTTGACACATTTGAATTTGATTTGAAATTATGTGAATTTGTCAGTCTTTACGGAGCTTATTTTATGTTATTTATTATTTATTCTACTACTGATAGCTGTATAAAGGTAGTAAATCTAGATGGAAATTGTGGCAGAACTTAAATTAACAGTGACACTATCGCGAATTATCAAAAAAGACTCTAAAATAGTTGGTTGTGTAGCGTGCGGTAGATCTCGGCAAAAATCAAGTGAAATAATGGAACAACTTTTCGCTAGTAAGTGAGTATATAATATACATACGTGTAGTAAACCGATCATTTATGAAATTCACTTAAATTAACTAATTATACATTTTTTCTTGCATTTTTGCTTTTATTTACTACTTTTCAAAGATTAGATGTCAAAAAATTTAGATACGTCAATTTGACTTACCTGCTTCAGTAGCGTATCGGATTGTTTGTGTTTATAAATAATTATTAAAACTTATCTATTTTTATTATATGTTTTTATAACAATTTTAATAACTACCAACCAGGGTTCGGAAAACTACATGTTACTTTTAAAAACTACATAAACTACATTACATGTAGTTAATGTAGTTTATGTAGAGGGTGTAGTTTATGTAACCTATGTATGTAACTTTCAAATATCCTTTGAATAAGAAGACTAAAGCCGGAGTCTCATGCATCCGAAATCCGATGACACGACGATCCGACGGTGCTCCTATTGGTCGAAATATTTTGACAACAATTTTTATCCGATAATTTTAACTGATCATCCGACGTCGTATAAAGTTAAATTTTGTTTAACTTTTGTACGATATCGTGTGTTTTTTAACCTCACTTTTTTTGAAAACATTTGTTTTTAAAAACAAGTTTAGTGGGAAGTGGGCAATTTCGGGATATTTGGCGAGGAAGTTATTTTTATAAGTGTTTCTCCAATAAAACATGACATGAATCTCTATTCAGCGCAGCAGAAAAATGTTAAAACTGTCAAATTTCGGAACGAACTTTCGGATGTATGTGACAGGCTTTTTTTATTTCACACGATAACTTCAAATTTCGGATGTCGTATCATCGGATTTCGGATGCATGAGACTCCGGCTTAAGGAAGGAGCATATCAAAAATCTTAGGTACACCGCGATGGGCCTCAAATATGGCCGACTTAAATTCCGGTTTATCAGTGTCGTTCTAATTTTATTTAAAAAAATGTAAAACTATTATGTGGGGTAGACGTGGGGTAGACTCAATAATTTGTTGTTTTATTTTACGTTGTGAATAAATGTTGGTAGTTATTAAAATTGTTATAAATGTATATAATTCTAATAAAAATAGATAAGTTATAATAAGCATTTATTAACATAAACATCCGATACGCTACTGAAGCAGGTAAGTCAAATTAACGTATCTAAATTCTTTGACATCTAATCTTTGACAAGTAATAAATAAAAGCTAAAATGCAAGAAAAATATATAATTTAGTTAATTTAAGTGAATTTCATAAATGATCGGTTTACTACAAGTATGTATATTATATAGTCACTTACTAGCGAAAAGTTGTTCCATTATTTAACTCGATTTTTGCCGAGATCTACCGCACGCTACACAACCAACTATTTTAGAGTCTTTTTCGATAAATCGCGATAGTCACTGTTAATTTAAGTTCTGCCACAATTTCCATCTAGATTTACTACCTTTATACAACTATCAGAAGCAGAATAAATAATAAATAACATAAAATAAGCTCCGTAAAGACTGACAAATCCACAAAATTTCAAATCAAATTCAAATGTGTCAAATGAATCGTCAAACAGAACTGTCAAGGATCCCCACCCTAGAGTGCTTTTTCCGCGCACCATGCATGAATACATGGATAGCATTATGCTCCTTCCTTAGTCTTCTTATTCAAAGCAAATATCAAAGGTTTGAGGTGAGGTTATAATAAGTTGAAGCTTTAAAAACACATAATGTATTTAAGAAAACAGAAGAAATGTGGCTTTAAATATAATATTTACATCATATTATCTCTATTACACCTCATATAAAGGAAAATTATTCATAATATCAATACATAGTTTATTAACGTAGTTTTCATGTAGTTAATGAACGGGAAAAGACGTAGTTTTTAAAGAAAAACTACACATAGTTAATCAGGTAAATTACGTCTTATTAACTACTTCCGCTGCTACCAACATTTATTCACAACGTAAAATAAAAAAAATATTGAGTCTACCCCACGTCTACCCTACATTATAGTTTTACATTTTTGAAATAAAATTAGAACGGCAGTGATAAACCGGAATTTAAGTCGGCCATATTTGAGTCCAATCGCGGTGGACCTAACATTTTTGATATGCTCCTTTCTTAGTCTTCTTATTCAAAGTATAAAACAATAAACTTTTGATTTCTAACCAAAATTTTTCTTGACGCATGATAATCAAAAGCCAAAATGACATTCCTCGCAAATTTAGAAGTATAATAAATGGAAAAGTCAAAAGTTTGTTAACATTTTCGACTAATTGATAATTACTACCACTAATTATGACGTTCTGAATGCTTACATTAAAAATAGGTGAACTAACTTCTACGCTAATTGAAACCACTAATTGTGAGGTTTTGAATGAAGTAAGTAAAATTAAGTTGCTTATTTGTTTTAATATAACCGAAACAGTGCTACGTATATTTGCCTAGTTCGTCATAATATCAAACACGAGATCTGCAAGAAAATAATTGTGATGTTAATTTAAAGTCGGACATTTTTATAGCACTTCCCCTTTTTAGTGCAATCTCATTATAGAAGACTAGAATCAAAATAGACATTGTAATATCGCTTATACACGGTTTTATTGTGGGTAATCTTTACGTAAATACCTCTTAAAATAGTTTATAATTAATCCGTAATACAGGGTAATTCATAGAAAAATCGCTACCTTCTGACATATTTTATTAGCAGATTTCGTAATTTTACTATGAATTTCTCGTGTGTTAACAAAATAGCATTTAGGTATTTAGAGATTAAGTAATCCCTTCAAATTAATCTCGTAAGATTTACTTATAACCTACTAGTGTTACAATTAAATTTAATAGAGAAAAAACTAATTTTATTTTTATATATTTGGTATTAATATTTATTGTATAAAAAAGAATGTAATTGTGAAGTGGTACAATAATATTGGGAAAATAAATTTAAAATCTGTTACACAGTTAAAGTAATTATATGGTTTAGTGTACTATTTAGAATTTTGCTTGTATTTAATATATAAACACATTGATCCCCCTGAGCTATTATCAAGTGTTTTTTACTGTCAGAATTCTAAGTTTGTGTGCCATTTAAAAAAATGCTTTCTACATTTTCAATTTGAAATATATAATTCTTTTATTTTTTGAAATAGAAATTATTCAAAATTATTGCAGAAAATTTTACCAAATTGCCTGTTTTTTTGGGCGAAAGTCTTAATTTTTTTTCGATTTATAATTTTCTGTACTTTTAGATGATTCAAATGAAATTTTGAGGGTAAAAGTTATTATAAGTGCGACATATTTTAATGCTAAAAGTGTCGACATATTCACCAAGGATGTGCATATGGGTTATCACTGGAATATTTTTCTAATAAAAATGTGTGCGCCACTGACTTATTTCTCTTGTTAGCAAAACTGTGTATAGTCTGTCCAACGACAAGATCCTTAACAGTGATAGTTGTGTCTGTCATTTTAATTTCAAAGTAGTTTATTTTATTTTACAAAGAAATAAGTTGGTAGAACTGAAACGCATAGCAGGAAATTAATAAATTTAAAATTTGACTGACAAGAGATTACTTCAAAATATTGTGAAAAAACTGTATAAAACTGAAAAAATGTAATCGAGTTATTTTATTTAACAAAAAACTGTATGTGATAATACAAAACAAACAAGAATAAGACACCACATACCTAAAAATATAAAAAGAACTATTTCTTACTTTGAAGCTTCATGAAACTTCCCGCATTTATGATTATATTTATCAATATAACTTATCTACATATACAAATTTGTAATATTCGACAGGAATAAAGAAAACAATATAAATAAAACAAACTATTTTATTAATAATAACACTTACCAAATTTTATACCTTAAAGGTTGGTTAATTAACTTTAATCTTAATTTTTTTAAACCAGTACCTTTTGGCATTATTTTTCTGCAGTACTAAAATTCATTCATATCGACATCACCTATCGTGTGATGTCGATATTTTACAGCTACTCCAGTTTTTAGTATGTGTTTAGTATGATCCTTCTACCATATACGAGATGCACTTATCTACGACGAGATGGTATACAAACTTTATCGATGGTAACTTCATTGGTGTATAAGACTTCCTGCCTGGGTAAGGAAAAATACTCGCTATTAACCATAAACTGTGCCCTGGGTCTACTGTTAATTTTCACTCGATTTCTCCTCCACTTGACTTCAAAAAACACAAAACACGTAATAATACGAATCAAAATGCATCATCTTCCAAAACGCAGGGTATTTGACAAAAGTTGACACAAAATTATAACCTATAATTTGGCAAGACTTTGACAAGCGTCAAAAATGACAAAAATCTAAAGGCGAGTTCATACGCATCGGCGTCTGTTTGTCGTTCATCGTTCCGTCAAACCAATAAAATTGAAATACGATCTGTCATTTTTTAAATAAACCAATAAAACTGGTTAAAAACAACAAGACACGACGAATGACGGATTTATATTTAAACCCACCCATAGTTAACTTAAAAATTATTAGAAACTTTTTTTAGTAAAATAAATGGATTGGCATGGGACGTCATCTGCTTTTCTTCTGTCATCGTCTGTCGAAATCTTACCTGAGAAAAAAAGAGAATGCCGATTAAAAGTTGGCTCTTGATATTTTGTCGATTTCGATCTCCTTGGTGAGGTTTTTGTTAATTAGTCTAAATCTAATAGCAAAGATTAAATTTTGCAATATCATTAACTGGCCAAAGTGTTAAATAGATACTCATTAATTCCTCATCAAAAAATATGAAAAATTATTATTGAAATTAGCTGTAGGTAGCACTAAACATCGGTGTTATAAATTTTAATAAAATTTAATAATAAATTATATTAAATAAATAATTAATTTTCTTTTTATTTTATAAATTGTGATTAATAAAATTGTGTTTATCTCATCAAGGAGATCGAAATAAACGGCCTAAACAATTTTGCTAACAAGAGAAAATAAAAGTCAGTGTCCCATATGTTTTTTTTTAGAAATATATTCCAGTGATAACCCATATGCACGTCCCTGGTGAATCAGTCGACAATTTCGATATTAAAATATGTCGCACTTATAGTCTTTTACCGTCAAAATTTCATTCGCATCGCTAAAGGCACTTGCAAGGAAATTATAAAAAAATTAAAATTTTAACCTCTTGTAACTACGAAACAAAGCAGAATCGCACCTATGTTGATATACAATTTAAATCTTATTTTTATGTGATTAATTAATCTACAACAACATTACAGTTGGGGTTTGGAACCTTTGGTGTTGCAACAGCAAAATAAAAAAAAAACACTAATTCACTACAATACCCCAAAACGTTTTACTTTTCAACATTGGACGCGCCTTGTTAGCATCATCAGCAGATGATTGAATGAGTTTTAATCATCTGCTGATGATGCTAACTTGTTAACGAGACGCGCGTCCAATGTTTGGTTTGGTAAAACGTAAAACCAAATGTAAAACATTTTGGGGTATTGTAGTGAATTGTGTTTATATTTTGCTAATAATTACATCATATTATAACAAGAGAAGTTTTTTATATACATTTTTTTGAGTTTTCCTTGCAAAAAACGTTTCCTTAATTTATTTTTAAATTGGAAATGAATAGTAAGCTTTCAGTATTTTACATTTTGTATTTCCAGTTACTTTTTTTACTGTACCAATTTTATAAAATGTATTTTTTCCACGTAAACTGTTTTTCTTTAAATCAAAGTATTTTAACATTAGATTTTAATAATTTATAAAAGTTATTGTAGTCTGTGATGAATAAAGGGTGACTAATGTATTTATTGTATGTTCTAGTTGTTAGAAAATAACAAGTATTTTTATAAATAAGATGTATTGAATATGCAGACTTCTTCCATTTGTTTGTTAAGGAAAAGGTTATTTAAACAAGAGGACTTTTAACTTGTTGCTTTGTATGCATTTTAAGTGTCAATTACATAGCCATAATACTAAAATAAAATTAATGTTACACCCCTAGTAAATTTGCTGTACTAAATCTAATCGGCAGTTTGTAAATACCTATTAATCATTTACGATTTTCCTTTTGAGCATTATGTTTGAAAATGCAGATAATGCAACATTTTGTTAATTGTTATGTATACACCTATCTAAAGGATTAAATATACAGTTAAAATGTGTTTATTGATTGTTAACTTAAATGAGTTGTCCTCATTACAAATAATGAATGTACAAAATTGACAAAATTATTTTAAATTATTTACACAGTGTATACCTTTAGAAATTTTACTCAGTCTCTACTTTTAAGCCCACAAATAAAAATTAAAAACATATTTATAGAGTTTGTTTTAATTCCAGAAACCATATTAAGGTAATTTTATTTACAACCAGGCCAACAATAAACTACTTATATATTCTAAAACGCTATTTTATATTATTTTAAAGTTGTTGCACATGGAACATACATTAACGGATAGGGGTCCATGGTTCTAAAACATCTTTGAATTTTTTTCGCTCTGAAAAAAAAATAGTTTTATATACATGTACATATATCCTAGGGGCTAGGGGAATGGGGTAGGGTTCCCAACTTGAACACCGGCGATTCCGGGACAATTATTTTTAAGCTTTTAAATAATTGAAACAAAACATTAAATATTAGAAATTAAAATATATTATGTGTGTAGTACACACTTTTTTAATTTTTAAACATAAAACATAACATTAGGTCCCGGCCAAGGCAAAACTTTCACCGGGACAAACTTCCTGATTCCTGGTTAATCCCGGCCAAACCGGGAGGGTTGGGAACCCTAGGATGGGGATGAGTTATAATTCACGAAAGGAGAGGCTCTTTGAGACTTTTTGACACCCCCTAGTGAGTCCCCCTTCACTAACCTCACGTGAGACTTCATAATATGTATTTTGAGTATAAGTGTTTTGGATATATTTAAAAACCACAAAATTTGCTTTATTATTTTATTAAGACTAGAATTTGAGATTGCTTAGATCATAATTATTATTATTTATTATCATTATTTATTTATTTATTTAGAAATAAATAAATAAATAATCTAAAATCACAGTGAAAGAAATTAAATAGTTATTGAATATAATTCAGATTTTAATATATAGGAGACTTGTTTCAGATTTTGGCATATTTTACTCTAGAATAGTGTTTTACTATAAATCTGATTTTCTCCTTTTTTACACTATTTTTTTGTCCAAAAAAATACGTTATTATATATATTTGTCCAACCCCCTCTCTCCCCCACATGAGATTTAGTGAGATTCAGTTTAACCAAGGTCCTCTTCACCCCCATAATATAGCATTATATTTTATATTATCAGAAATGCTTTTGTTTATAAGAATATTACCAAAAGGTGGGAAATCTTCAGGATGCAACTCTACATAATGACGTAGTATGGCATCTCTTTCTGCCAAATAGCTCTCTCTCCAGTCATCCAGTACTTTACCAACAAAAAAACCGCCTACACCAGCAAAAGCATATCTATGTATTCCTAAAAAAAATATCAGATATTTCAAAATGTCTATTCAGACTAGAGAATACTGTGAATTATGACTAAATACACAATCAAAAATTAAGACCCTGATAATTGAAGAAGTTCTAATATTATTTCCTGTAAAGTAGATATTTTAATGTTGTTAAAAATTTTCCCGTTTTAAATTTTTATTTTAAATATATTTCATTTCTTATAAAGGTTTCAGAAACATTTAAACATATATTATACATTTTTACTATTAAAAATAACGAAAAATACAAGGTTTGGTAATCTAAACAGTTTAAAGGCAATGTTTATTTTTATAGTTGTCAAATTATTTTACTAAATATAAAATTCAACTCTTATTTATATATAGTCAAAAAGGTACATATAGTCAAAAATATATAGAATATATTCGGTTAGGATACTACAAAAAATAATTAGTTTCTCGAATGGTAAATTTAGTAAAAATATAAATATTTGTAACTATATAGATTACATAATTAAATTGAAATGAAATACCTACCGCTCAAAACTGGTCTTGGAGAAAACTTATTAGCCACTGCCATACCAATCAATGATACAATTGCAGCTACAGCGGGGTGAAGATATTGAGAAATAAGCGGACGTTCTGTAGTGGGGCGCTTATTTAGTAATTCTAGTGGAGATAATGCAACTTGCGGACCTGTTCCAGCCATTTTTCCAATTTTAATAACACATTCGGAATGAGGTTAAAATCTATAATCTTCTATTTGTAATTAAGTAATATTGATTTAATGGCTACAGCTGCTAGAGCTATCCGAGCGGTTGATGTTTATTCTTCTCTTTTAGATATTAATAGCCTAATATGACCAAAACCCCTCCTCCTTTTAAATTAGACAGGGATGGGTGTGTAGAAACCTAACGTTAAAAATAGTTTTTTATGGTGGGTTCATACAAGGTTCATACAGCCAAATAAAATAAAATAAGAATAAAATAAAATAAAATAAGAAAGTTGGTTATATGGGATACCGTACATGCGTTCATACAGCCAAATAAAATAAGAAGTCTTTATCTTTTAACTTCTTGTTTTATTTTATGTGAAAACGGCTTTGCGCACGCTTAATTCTAACCTACAAATATTTTCAGTTTGGATTTAATTTATTTTATAATTTCACATAAGTAAAATGTATAATATAGTAGGCAACGAGGTAATGGTGTGGATCCGGTGGCTGACCTTGAAACGAGTTTTTGCTGCATATAGTCACAGACACTACGCATGCGCACATCTTCGATGTTGCCAGATTGTGAGTTATTTTGGAATTATTTTCAGTTGAAAACAAATATGTGCTTTTCAGTGTTTTTTTGTCAATATATACCGTATGATCGAAAAAACGGCGTCCAGTTGTCTGGGAAATGACGATTGAGGATATTTCCATAAAATGACAGCGATCTTCATTTCATAGTCATTGCTGACGCTATTTTTTTTTTCAATGATAGTACGCGGTATATTATTTTAATATTTCGCACAACACGTGAACGCTTATTATTATGTATTTTCAGTCAATAAAATTATATAGAAATAAAACTCTAGATTCCTATCTAGATTATTATGCTACGTTTAAAAAGTGCTTTATTAAAAATTCCAAATTTTTTCTTTTTTTTTTAATTTTTAAATGCTGTAGCTCCATGTCATGTTCATAATAGATTTTTTTTAACATTCCATCAAAACTACGGAGGCCTTAGAAGGCCTTTTAGCCTCCGTAATTAAAATTGTAGAATCAGCTTCAGCAACATTAACAGTTACCTTGTTTAATTCTGCTTATACATATATTGCATTAATTTTTCTGCTACATTAAGATTTCTCTATTCTTACACCTAATTTATGTGATTTTCTTAGCATATATGATTTATAAACCATATTTTTCCTAATGGAAGGATGAATAGGATATGCAAAATTAAGATATTTTAACATTTATTTTCCAGACCAAGCATAATATAGTATTAAGATGAAGACATAACAAATATTATAAGAAAGATCTTAATATAAATCACAAACTAAGTCTTAATTTAGTCTTGTATTTCTATTATTATTATTATTCTTATAAAACTAATAAGATCAAAACTCAACCTTCACCATATTGTCAAGATTTGGCATTATAGGAAACAAGAAATTACAGTAAATTAAGAAAAGAATAACAAAGTACACGATATTAAATACTGTAATGTATTTTACGATACAAACCATCTCCCTTCTAAAGAGAAAAAGATAAAACATAAAGCTTATTTTAGTCTTATCAACACACTCTTCGATAAAATCCACTAACTTGATATCTATGCTTGATATTTTTAAGAAATTATGATACAAACATTAATTATAATCAAAGTATATTATATTAGTAACATTATATAATAGGTAAAATGTTACCTCTATCTCCGATTGACGTTTATTGTTCTATAATAAGACCCGTCATGGTAGTACTTCAAAACATCAATACATATATAATCAAAAATATTGTTGCCTGTAAATAAGTAGAAATTAAATAACTTGAAAGAAATAAAATAATTCTAATAAGTTTAAAACCATTAAGAAAAAATCGGTAAATGATAAATTTTAAATCTAATGTAAACATATAAATAAATGTTATTATTATTACAATTTTATATATTATAATACTTTCATTTCACAATCTTCATTATCCTTCTTACCTTAATTTTCGATATCAAGATAAATCTGAAATTATAAAATTAATTATAGAATTTGTATTATTATTGATTAACACGCAAAAAAAAAATTTCAACTGCAAATAATTCGAAAATAAACTGCAATTTGGCAACATCGAAGATGTGCGCTTGCGTAGTATCGATGATCAAAAGCAGCAAATATGGGCTTCAAGGTCAGCCACCGGATCCACACCTTTACCGGCAACGAATAAATAAATATACTATAAATAGTAAAATTACTATAAACAATCGTAAAAGTTAACTTTTATCCAGCCTCATCGTACTGCGCATGAGCAAATATATATTTCTTATTTTATTTTATCTGACTGTATGAACGCACACAAATAAGAATTCCTTATTTCTTATTTTATTCTTATTTTATTTACGCTTCAAAGAAATAAAGCCGTTTTGAAATCTCTTGTTACCTCTTGATTATATTTGATAATACAATTAATGTATTATATCTATTATTATATACAACATATTTTAAATTATATAATTTTATAAACTTTGCAATACTAGAAAATTTGAATTTATTATAATTAAACTTCTTTTTATTCAGAGGTTTTATTATGTATATTAATTATATCATCTTACATTCACATACATCTCAATTTTTCTAAAAAAAAACTAAGGTAGCATCAAAATAATGTATACAATATAAATTTTTAAAATACCCATTTACTTTGTTTTCGTACTGACATCATTTTCAGTGTAATCTTCGTTTGGACTATCATCAGAGCCATCTTCTTCACTTTCACCTAAAGAAAAAACACTTTTGTTTCAAAAGAACAGTTAATATATAACACAATTTTTACTTTCATCTTCATCAGAATCAGTATCATCATTTGAATATGATTCGTCATAGTTATAACTAGTATCAGCTTCGCCTGTATCATGATCATATGTATTGTCATCATCTTCATAGTCATTATACGTTGCTTGTCCTTGTCTTCCAAATTTATGACTTCTTGCTAAATTAAGGTAATTTGTAAAAACAGTAAATATATTTTGTGATAAAAAAATACTTACTAGACATGCTAAGATCCTTAGTTTGGGATGTTTCATAACTACATTTAGGACAAGGAATAGCCTTGTTCTTTTCATATTTAAAGCCTTTTCTTCTAACATGATCTTCACAGTAGCACACTTTACATCTCAAACAAGAGTACTGGCCTAGTTTATTACAAGACTGACCTATTATAAGAAAAGAATAGTAAAAAATGTATATTTAAGTTAATAGTAATAAATAATTTACATTTATAATTCTCAGACTCGAGTACTTGACAGGAAGCTTGATGTTCAAATTGATCATCTTCACACAAAAATCTGTAAAGCAATAAGATTACACAATTGATATGTTTTTCTATATGAAATTTACCCGTCACAAAATGAACATTTAAAAAGTCTGCCTCCATGATCCCAAACACCTCGTTCACATTCTATACATGTTGCATCTTGAAGAGGACATGTGCAAGCATGTGTTTGAAGACACTTTCTACCGTGACACACCCACGCTTCACAAAAATCGCATATTGCTCCCTATAATAAGTAGATATCAGTATATATATCACATAAACACTTATATTACAAAAATGGTATTTTTACTCACCACCATGTTCATTCCGGTCGTGTATATTCCTGCATGTTTTATTACACAATCCCCAGTTTTTAACATACATTTCATTTTACCACATTGGGCACACACTGGTAATCTTTGTACGCTTTGGCAGAAGTAGCAGAAGGCTCTAGATTTTTGTTTTCTAAAATTTAGTAATCAAATAAAGCTCTTAAGATACAACGATTTAATAAACCTGTGACATTTTTCGCATTCCATCGCAGAATTGCAAGGGTGCTGAGCGAGCTGTACATTCTCCTTTGCAGTTCTTATTTCTTTCTGTCTGAGCCTTTGCTTTTCAGCCTTTTTTCGTTGTCCCGTTTTCTTTTTGGGCATTTTATAAAGCAAATTATCCCTCTTTCGACTTTATCAGGACCAAAGACCTCTAACCCAACAGGACTTCTGATTTTAAAGCAATTTTAAAGACACATTGGCAGAAAATAAAAAATTTGAAGAGGTTAACTTCATGTTAACTTGACACATTGACACCTCGACACATTCTTCTTAGAATAAGTCTATGGGCAAAATGGATCAGAGACGTTTAGATGGTCTACTACACTAAGGACTACACTACTACACACCATAAGCAACAGGATTGCTGGTTCGAATCCGGCTGCCGGCATGACTGTCCAAATGTTTTTGTCCAAAAAATTTAAACACTAATTAATTAAAATATGTATAACTGATCGGATCATTAAAATATGCAGATATACCAATATTACCAATATGCATAACCAAGAAGCAAAAAAGGTATAAAAGGCATTATTAATTTTGAAAAACTCTAGATCATATATAAGTTTTTATAATTAAAGTCCAGGAATATATGATTTAATTATCTTTGTAATTATTCAATCTGCTCAAATCGATAAATTATTTTATTACGTAACAGTTATATTGTGGAGATAGAAAGTACACCAAGAATGGTAGCGGATTAAGCAGATATAATATTTAATTATATTTTTTTTTAATTCGGTATCTTTATCATATTCATTATGTTGTGTTTATTATTCAATAGGTGGCTCTAGCTCTGATAACAGCCACGTAAGATTGACAAATTGACAATGACGTTTACCAATTTCCAATTTATTTCTCTTTTCAGTTTCTGAAAGAAAAGAAATGTAATTAATATGTTAAAATCCTTAAGTTTTATCGCATAGTATAATTTTAATTTGGTAAGTAAAATTGTTTATATTTCTGTAGCTTTTTTGAGAAGACAGACAGGATATTTTTAATTTATTTTTGAATAAGTGGTCAAAGGTGGAGTGTCGATTTAAAATCCTCCAAATATGATTTTTTCTGCGTCACGTAATAAACAATAAATTTTTCAGACAAAGAAAAACAACAATGTCTGAGCCAAATGGTGTGGCTATGCCACAAACAACACCACAATATCAGTTTAATGGTATTAGCTCTAACAACACATCAAGAGGATCTTCACCACTACCCCAAGCTAGCCATATACCATCTTCACAATTACCTCCACTGAAAAGTGGTATACCACCATCCCAATTACCTCCCACGAGAAGTTCAGTTTCGGGACTAGTTAGAAATGTTAGTCAGTTAAGTGTATCAAGCCAGAACACTCCTAATGTCAGTCCAAGTAAATTTAGCACATCCACGCCCAATGAAGAAAAATTAAGGATGTCAGAACTTAGTGACAATGCATCTTCTTTAGTGCCAAATCCAGATGTTGTGCCAGTGCGTCAATATGTCTCCTCGGATGCTTTAAATAAGAATATAGCATTACCTAAGGCTAGTAACATAAACTCTTTACCAAGTAATACAATAAGTGATACTCCTAGAGCTGTACCATCAAGTCAGCTTAATATGAGTACTCCAAGCAGATATTTTAACGAAAATGGATCTAATTTTACTAATGTAATTAATGGTTCTCTACAGAGCAATTTCAGAACAGAAACTCCTCAGAATTTCATACCCATGCAAAATAGCCAGGTTGAGAAAAAATCTGGTGAACATGGTCAGAATCACAGTGGGAAACAAACTAATCCAACATTGAATTATCCACAACAAATATCAACTTTCAGTCAGTCAAATACTAATACTAATAGTTTTAGTAGAAACACCCCTCCTACTGCTAATTCACAGCTAGTTAGCACTAACCAATTGCAGTCATGTTCAGTTGCTCAAAGTAATATAATTTCAAATTCTCAAAATCCTAGCCCATACACGTTTTCTGGAGTATCCACTTTAAATCAGACAAATCAAACTCATCCTTCGCAGTTTAATTTATCACAAAGTTCTACACTATCTTCACAAAATACTAACTCTAAACCTCCAGTACAAGTGCCACAAAATACTATTAGCAAACCTTCAAAACCAAGATATCCTCAAACATTACCATCCAATTTAATGCAACCACAAATTCCTGGTGGAGGCATACCTCCCAGTTCTCAGTATAATGCTAGTTTACATAATCCAAATTTGCTTAGTCAGTCACAAGCTGAATCTTCCCAATCATATCTTAACCCACAGGTCAGTTTCAATAATAATTCTATGCCACCTAACCAATCATTCTATAAACCTCAAGTTGGTTTGAATGGTCCTGCATCCTTACCTTCCTCTCTACCAACAAAACCTGGTATATCTGCTAATAGATATCCTGCGCAAGCACAAGTCCCTCTTCAAAACCCACCAGGCCAGTACCCTCAGCAGCAGCAGTATCCTCAACAACAGCAGCAGCAGTTACATTACCCTCAACAGCAGCATATGCAATATCCGCAACAACAGCAGAAAGCTCAGTATCCCCAGCAACAGCAGCAGTTACAATATCCCCAACAACAGAAACAGATGCAGTATCCTCAGCAACAGCACAGTCAAACTGGGCCTGTTGTACAAAGTGGCTTTAATAGATTATGGGGCACTGACAGTCATGATTTACTTCAACTACCCAATATTTTACCAACTACAAAAGTGCAACCGCCACAAATTAACTTAGGACAAGATGCTTTAAATAAGGCAAATTGTAGTCCTGAGGTTTTTCGTTGTACTATGACTAAAATACCTGAGACAGCAGCACTATTACAGAAAGCTCGACTACCGCTGGGCATGTTAATACATCCCTTTAAAGACCTTAATTATCTACCTGTAATTCAGTGTAATGTTATTGTGAGGTGTCGAGCATGTAGGACGTATATAAACCCTTTTGTTTCTTTTGTCGATTCGAAACGTTGGAAATGTAATCTGTGCTATAGAATTAATGAGTTGCCAGAAGAATTCCAGTATGATCCAGTTAGTAAAACATATGGTGATCCTTCGCGTCGACCAGAAATAAGAAGTAGCACTATTGAATATATAGCGCCTGCTGAATATATGCTCAGACCTCCACAACCAGCTGTTTACTTGTTTTTAATTGATGTTTCTAGGTAAGATTGAATTCATTTTAATTTGGTTTGATGAAACTGGAATAACAATTTTAGGTTAGCTATTGAAAGTGGCTATTTGGAAATTTTGTGCAATATTCTTCTAGAGGAATTAAAAAATATACCAGGTATACTGTTGAGAATCATGCTTCAAACAAGAAAATATTATTTGAATTATATTTTAGGAGATGCACGGACACAAATTGGCTTTTTAGCTTATGATTCGGCTCTTCATTTCTTTTCTTTAGCAGAGGGTTTAAATCAACCACATGAAATGACTGTGTTGGACATTGAGGATGTCTTTTTGCCAACTCCTGATAATCTGTTGGTGAACTTAAAGGACAGACTGGAATTAGTGGAGGATTTGTTGAAGCTGTTACCAGTAAGATTTGGCAATACTTTTGATGGAAGTAGCGCCTTAGGTGCCGCTTTGCAAGTGGCACACAAAATGATGGGACCAACAGGTAATAATAAAATAATCTGCATTTAATATTTTGTATCATGAATATTATCCATATAAGATTTGATTTTGTTATTTATTTCTGGAAATCAATTGGACTTGGTTTCAAGACAATTTTATTGCTATTGGTTTCTGGAATTCATGACCTCTCATTTTAGTCATTTTTATTGAAAATGTTAAAACATGGGGCTGGGTTTAATATTTAATATATTATACAGGGTGGTCCGAACTGTATTCCGGAAACTTCGGTAGCATATTCTGCAGATAAAAATAAGTAAAACAGTTCCTATAGATGTATGTCCTGAAATGCTTAGTTTTGGAGATACAGGGTATAGAAGTTTCATTTTTACTTCGATTTTTTCCAAATAATTTATGAAGTAACGTAAATATTTGGATGAAAATAGGTATCTTGGAGGTTTTTGACATGAGAAGTTTGATTTTGATGTCAATATGACTCCTTCTTGTAGAGGGCGCCACCTACATATTTTTTAACTGGTTTGAAGAGTAATAACTTTTCGTTCGTACCTGTATAAAACTACTGAATAAAAAAATATACATTTACGACATTTTTTGCCTTAAAAAGGTCCCTTGGGAAAAATCGCTACGAGTAATGGTTCTCGAGATATTTGGAATCTAAATTATCAATACTTGTCATCATTCATATAAATTAAACATTTTGACTAAATAGTTATTAGACTGAAATCATAAATTTGAAATGTTTTTGTGCCAAAAGTTCAGCGGAAACTGTTTTATCATCATTTCTTCGCAGAAAAATTTATGAATAATAATTTAAAAAAAAAAATCAAAATTTACAGAATTTATTATTTTAGTCAAATAACTATCTACCTAACTATCTCTTTGTTTTTTGTCAATAATGACATGTATTGACTATTTCCATTATAAATATGAGAACGGTTACTCGTAGCGATTTTTATCAAGAGACATTTTTTACGTAAAAAGTCATGGAAATATATCTTTTTTCATCCAGTGCTTTTATACAGGTACGGACGAAAAGTTATTACTCTTCAAAAGAGTTAAAACACATGTAAGTTGCGTCCCCTACAAATGGGAGTCATATCGACATCAAAATCAAATTTCTCATATCAAAACACCCCCAGACACATACTTTCATCCAAATATTGACGTCACTTCAGAAATTATTTGGAAAAAATCGAAATAAAAATGAAACTTCAACACCCTGTATTTTCGAAAATAAGCATTTTAGGACATACATTTATAAGAACTTTTTTACTTATTTTTATCTGCAGAATATGCTGCCGAAGTTTCCGGAATACAGTTCGGACCACTCTGTAAAGAGTGTAAATGAGAGTCCGAAAATCGCCTCAAAAAAATTATATTTAAAACTGTATTTAAATTTGTAGAAAGCACTCCACTCACTTGAATTTGTTTGCACTTTATTATGAAGAACAAAAAATTGAGCATTTCCTGCTTATTTCTTTAGTCATTTGTGCGTGTTTATTAATGTAAAATATAATCTATTTTTTGGTATACAGGGTTCTTTAGAAAAGTTCATACAAAGCGGACTTTTTTCATGATTTTCTAGATTTTTTAAATATAACATAATAGCCGGAGAGCTGGCGACATATTTAGAGAACATATTTTAGGCAAGTTAGAATAACAAAAAAAAAATAAAGTTTAATAACTTGTGAACCCAGAATCCTAAGTCTGGCTGGGGGGTTGGGGGTATTTCGCTCCTGCGCAACCCATAACCTTTGCAAAAAAATTAATCCAAAAAACATTCCTTAGGCAACTTGAAATTTGTTTATTCTTAAATTTTAGCCTCTATTTAACCTAGAAATAAGTATGCCAGACTTTTTTTTCGGGTTTAAAGTGTAATCCGACCATTCCAAATATGTTTAATTATTATACCTGGAAAACATACTTTAGGCATTCTAAAATTTTTACAGCGGGTTTATTAGATGATATTAAAAAATATGTGTTAATTGCCAGACGAATTCAACGGGTTTTAATACTTGCCTGACGCGAATAAAGATTTTAAATGAGCGCGACAAAAAAGCCTTATGAGTATCTATAAGCGCGAGAAAAATAGTTTATTGAGACACGGTCGGCAGCCTATGCGGCTGACGTAACAGTATTTTGGAGTACTTCAAATTTACATAAAAAGCATTTTTTTTTCGGTTTCATTTCAATTATTTGCAGGCTTTTAATTCAGAGATTATTTTGTTGGAATTAAGTTACCATGTACAAATACGTATTTATAAATTAAATATTGATGTGTGCATAGTGTAAATAGTTTAGAATAATTACTGCAAATAAATATTTTAATAACTACTAATTTCGCTACTAACTACTAAATCACAATGGATAAAAAACATTTAAGTTGTGTAGTTTGTAAAAAAGTTACTAGTGACAAAGTTATTGTTTTTGATGAAGGTAGACTACAAAAATGCAAAGAATTTTCCAAAGTGCGCCAACAACATGGTGTAAAATTTAAAGAAGTGGTTTTACCAGAAAACGTAGTCCCGACAAAAGGGTACCAATGGTACCATGTACAGTGCTAAAAAAATAAGTATGTATTCTGGAATTTTATTAAAGTACCATTGTTAATCTTTCTAAAGAGGTTCAAAAGTAAGTAAAAGTGCTTTACTTTTATGCTTAGGCGTTAAAATGACTTTTTTATATTGTCAATCAGGTCGCAAAAATTAATAATAATATAATATGTCACAAAAGTATAATAATAATTATACTTTTGTGACGTTTGAAAAAATTATATTTTATATTATGCTAATTTTTAAATAATTATTCGTCTTTTTATTCTTTCAAAAAATGTTTCTTTTTATTTATTCAATATTAGCTAGTTTTTTTTTTAATTTTTACGACTCCAAAGTGCTGTTACTTCAGCCGCATCGGCTGCCGACGGGTCTCAATAAACTATCTTTCTCGCGCTTATAGATACTCATAAGACTTTCTTATCGCGCTCATTTAAAATCTTTATTCGCGTCAGGCAAGTATTAAATCCCATTGAATAGGTCTGGCAATTAACACATATTTTTTAATGTCATCTAATAAACACGCTGTAAAATTTTTAGAATGCCTAAAGTATGTTTTCCAGGTATAATAATTAAACATATTTGGAATGGTCGGGTTACACTTTAAACCCGAAAAAAAAAAGTCTGGCATACTTATTTCTAGGTTAAATAGATGCTAAAATTTAAGAATAAACACATTTCAAGTTGCCTAAGGAATGTTTTTTGGATTAATTTTTTTGCAAAGGTTATGGGTTGCGCAGGAGCGAAATACCTCCAACCTCCCAGCCAGACTTAGGATTCTGGGTTCACCAGTTAATAAACTATACATTTTTAGTTATTCTAGCTCGCCTAAAATATGTTCTCTAAATATGTCGTCAGCTCTTAGGCTATCTATATATAACTGCCTGTTGTTTATTTTAAATGAAAAAAAAAAGTTAAAAAACGTTGAAAATATTGTAATTTTATCTGTCATTCTATCGCGTCAATTTCTGTATGTTATTTATTGAAAAATGACATGGGGGCAATAAATGTGCCTATTTCAATAGTAACGTTGACGCTTCATTTTTCGATAATAGGCTATAATCGTAGGTTTTACTGAGTATAAACAAAAATTACTTAATTTTAAATCAGATAAACTGTATTATTGTACTTGTTCAAGGTAAATACTGTCTACTAGCATGTTAATAATTATATTAAAAAGTATGACAAGGTAATTTTGTTTGAACAGGAAATCTAGAAGGTAATTTTAGGATATCCTATTCGTTGTTTTAGATTCGTTAGGTACAAGGTGATTCAAATAATTTTAAGCCTTGAGATAACACTAGGAAAATGTTCAGAATTCAATTCACAGAATTCAAAAAGGACTAAATAGTTGGTCTAGTATATAGAATTTTATTTTTACAAAAATACAGGGCTGTGCACCACCTACGACACGGAGTATTGTAGCCAAACGATTAGATTTTTACAAATTGTAAGTTAGGTTCGTTGAAGGACTATTAAAGCTACAATTTAATAATATTTTTACAAGATACTGAGTGTCGCTAATAAATAAAAATCAATATCAAAGTTGTATTTTCTTAAATGGAACACTCTGTAGATTATTACATTTTTAGTTTCTACGATTAAAGTACAGATAAATTTGATTAAGGTTTATCACACTTAAAACTTGCCGTTTTTGAAATATATTCAATTTTGTGAAATTGCAGTAAAAATTTTAAGACTTCATTTCTCCAAGGGTATCAACGTTTTTAACACTAAATATTTACTGAAGTTTATTTATTGATCAGTTATTGTGTTGCAATAATAAAAATAATACCACCTCATACAGAGTGTTTAAAAATTTATTTTAAATAATTTCTAGATTTAAACGGCAATAACTTGTTTAATTTAAATGGAACACCCTGTAAATTTTAGGAGAATCAGATGTACAATTTAATTGTCTATCAAATAGATACGCAACACAAAATTTAGTAAATAGAAATAGTTCAGTACAATATTTGGTTTTAAAAACTTAAATACGCCTAGAGAAATAAAGCATTAAATTTCACGCAACGAACGCAAAACTTACAATTTGCAAAAATCTAATCGTTTAGCTACAATACTCAGTGTTGTACTCCTATGGGGTGAAAAACCCTGTATTTTTTGGAACATTACCATTTTTTGTCATATTCGGACATAATTTTTTATCAACAGCCATATAAAAGGTTTTTCTCTATCTCTACTGGTTTAGTAAATTACAAAATTGAGAAGTTCATGAAATTCAAGTCTGTCCAGCAAGAAAATACAGGACAGTAACTGTTGTCTGTAGTCTTTCATTTTAGCTGGCAGCTAAATTATATTTTCCCTCATTTTCTGGATATCATCTGTCAAAATCTTCCTGCACAGACTTTACACAGGGTATCCCATTATTCCGTGGACATAGAACTACTACGTATTTTTGAAATCAAAATCAAAAGTTCATTGGACACAATTTACCTCTGTACGAAAGTGCTTCGTTTGTCCGTTAGGGGGCATCAAACTTTAAAAAAATAAACACATTTTTTAAGATATTTTAAGAACCGTTTTTCCGATTTGAATGAGATTTGGGGTGCCTATGTTCTGGTAAGTGCTTTATCATTTGACATTCACAAAAATCAAGAAAAAGTACAGGAAGGGTGATTTTACGAAAGAAAAATTAGTCTTCGGTGGAGTTTTTAGAGAAAATATTTCTACTAAAATTTATGTAAGGGTGGGGGTAGTTTTTATGTTTTATAAAAGTCAAATGTTAAAGCGCTTAGCAAAACATAAACACCTCAGATCTTATTCAAATCGGAATATCGGTTCTTAAAATATGTTCCTTTTTTTTAAAATTTGATGCCCTCTAGCGGATAAACGAATCACTTGTATAGAGGTCAGTTGGGTCGAACAAACTTATTTTGTTTCGAAAAATACGAAGTAGTTTTATGTCCACGGAATATTGGGACACACTGTATATAAAATAATATATATTAAGCAGTATTTTTTGGTTTCCTTAACCAACGTTTATTTGTTTTAAAAATAACAGGAGGAAGAGTTACAGTTTTTCAAGCAGCCTTGCCTAATATTGGCCCAGGTGCAGTAACATCAAGAGAAGATCCGAATCAAAGATCATCAGCTGAAGTAGCTCACTTAAACCCGGCTAACGATTTTTATAAGAAATTAGCCTTAGATTGCTCAGCTCAACAAGTTGCCGTTGATTTGTTTATTGTCAACTCCCAATATGTCGATATTGCTACAATATCTGGTATAAGTAGGTAAGAATTTTGTTTCAAATTACTTTATATATCTCAGAAAACAATGAACATTTGAGAAAAAAATATTTTGTATATATACAGTGTGTTACAAAAAGTTCCTATCTGAAGTTTGGAAAAATTTATTTTTCTAGATTCAGCGGAGGTTGTATTAATCATTTTCCGCTATTTAAATCATCGAGACCTTTATTAGTTGATGGTTTTCAAAAATGTCTGAGAAGGTACCTAACCAGAAAAATTGGATTTGAGGCTGTCATGAGGGTTAGGTGTACCAGGGGACTTTCTATACACACTTTCCATGGTAATGAGATGATTATTTGATAATATAAAGTGTTTTTAATTTTTTTTCTTTATTTTTATAGGCAATTTCTTCGTCCGCTCTACCGACCTTCTGTCATTACCAAATGTCAGTCCAGACGCTGCTTTTGGTATGCAAGTGTCTATCGAAGAAAATTTATCCGATTGTCAGACCGTATGTTTCCAGGCAGCTTTATTATACACATCTAGTAAAGGTAAAATTCGTACATTTTATATTACAGTACATTAGTGTTTTTGTGGAGTGAAATTTTTTTCCATAGCAACTGTTAATACTGCCTTATATCCTTGTATATATATTTTTAAAGTAAATCAACCTAAGACGTTTATGGACTAAGACTACTAGATGGCAGGACCGGTTTCACTACAGAAAAATATTTTTTGTTACTCTGAATTTTGAAGCTACCAATAAAAACAGAGAAAATAAAAATCGATAATTTTCGGACTGTGCCAATTGGTTACTAATCGACCAGATACTTTTTATCTATTAGATATACTATAAAAGCTGGCAATTATACAATTCGACCATTGTAAATACCCGACAAATTCTTCAAGGCCGACACGGCCGATGCTTCTCACTGATAAAAAATAAAAATGTTTGTTTAGATAATTTTCGAGGTATTTTTTCTTTCTGAATGCACATTTTAAAGTACTTTATATTCTTTGTCCCCTTGACCTATGATCCTGGTTGCACGTATGGAAGTTCTGTTTCTTCTAGTTTTAGAAAATGTTCTTATTTCTTTTTCTTTATAGTTGTAGTGTAATTTTAGATTAATTTATTAAGTTTAATTATAGTGTTTAGTGTAGCATGTTAGTGTAGTCTGCCAAAAATAGTTTAGTAGTGTTTTTATATAGTTTATTTTGTAGTTAAGTAGTAAGTGAAGGGATAATTTTGTTATTTTTTTCTTTTTGTTTGATAAATTAGTAAGTTTGATAATTTGTTCAGTGTAGAATACAAGAATAAGTAGTTGTGTAGTGTTTTTAAGAGATTATATCCGTTTATTTTGTAGTTGAGTAGTAGGTGAAGAGGTATTTGGGTATTTCTTCTTTTTGTTTTTCTTGTAATAATTGTAGTAGTTCTATTAAGTATTGTGATAGATACACTATATCTTCCTTCAACTTCGTTGAAAAGTGCGTTATCATATAATATTGGTTTTCTGATAGCAGAATATGCGAAAAAAAATCTGATCAAATTTATTTGAAATTAAATTAATCTAGCCTTATTAATCAAATTAAACTAGTCAAATAATAATAATATTTAGTTTCAAAATACTATACAGGGTGAGTTTCCTACGATGTTCTCTATGGGTGTCTCAGAAACTACTGGAGATAGAGAGTCGGTTAAATGGGGAAAGAATTGCAGTTTTGTGGGGTCATAAATATGCGCCTTTCGGATTTTTCGGAGAAGTTCAAGGCTTACTAGATATTTCGAAAAACACAAATTTTGGCTATTTTAAAACTTGTCTCTAATTCCATTATAATCTACCGTATGATCGAATAAACACGGCGTCAACGATGGCTATGAAATGAACATCGTTGTCATTTTATATGTAAAATTATATGGGAAATATCATCGATCGTCATTTCATAGCCATCATTGACGCCGTTTTTATTCGATCATATGGTATTTTCGATAAAAAGTTTTCAGATAAAAGTTGTAGATAATCACATACCTAATGAGTTTGTGTTGTCTGTTTTTTTTTCTAAAGCCTGTCATTTTTGACATATGACACAAACATTACGTTTTTTTTAAATGGAAATCCTAGTTGGCCATGACTTAATAAAAAGCGCCATTCTTTAAGCTTTTCAGCGATATAGGTATAATATGTTTTATTTCGAAAAATTACAAGTTATAGCCAATTCTTTTCTTTCTTGGCTAATTCCCATACCAATAATACCATGCCAATTAGTTGGCATCAAAAATGTAAAATGTTTTATGTTTTCAAAAAAAAAATATCGTAAAATTCGTAAAGCACTCAATTTAGAATAAAATAATCTAAGAATGAAATGATTCTTTTATAAACCTGCATTAAATCAAATTAAAATAGGTATGTAACTTTTTTTTTAAATATTAATTAACAGCAATTAGCATTATCATAAATTATAAATAATGTACCAACATATCGAAATAATAATTTCTTTGTTAATACGGTTTAGAATTCTTAAAATAACAGGCAAAAATAATCCACAATTTACAATAAAATAAAAGTTTCGTTTAAATTTCTCAATCAGCTGATCATTATTAAAGTTCGCAGAAACCCGGGCTATATTATTACATTACTCTGAGGAAAAGAACGAAAATAATCGATATTTTTGACTCCGCCCCAAAAGGTTCACGATTTGTCCTCCAGTTGGCAGCACATTTTGTCTAGTCGGTTGAACAACTTTAAGAATATATAAACAAGGCTTTTTCTATCAAAAATAGTAGATAAAGTAGTACCTTAACCGCAAAGGTAGATTAAATGATACTTTAACAGCGAGGATAGGTTAAAACTTTATTTCTTTTCGCACGTTTTTTAATTGCTTCCATTTTTGAAAATTTTTGTATTCCTTTTCATAAGTTATTCGGGATTTAAATGGAAGTAGTTTGGATATGGCGTTTGTCGACGCAGCCTGAATATCTATCTAATTATTATATCTAATTTACTTATTTCGTTTTGAGCCATTTCTGGCTTCAATTCAATCAGCAATCGATACGAAAGAGAATTAAAAAATATTGACTCAAAACTGACAACTTAAGGGACAGCTTTATTTATTTGTCAAATTACATAGAAAGTAACGCCAACCCAGCACAATATTTTTTCTACTCGTAATAAATTCCTTGAAATAATAATTTCTGAATATTTTTTAAAACGTAACTCGCTATGGAAAAAAATATTGTTTTATACACGACGATAAAATTGCATTATCGTCTTGTATAAAAAATACCTAAATTATATTTAATTTGTACGTTACTAATACACATATGCATTATTATTTTTAGGAGAAAGAAGAATTAGAGTCCATACTTTATGTATTCCCGTAGCTTCTACACTTAATGATATAATACATTCAGCAGATCAACAATGTGTGGTGGGCTTATTAGCTAAAATGGCTGTGGATAGGTAATATATTTACAAATTTTAAAATATATAGGGTGGGTCAAAAAGTTTTCAATAAATGAAATTTTTAAATTATTGTTTTTTTGGAAAAAACTTTATGCGGAATTTCTTCATGGATCCATTAACAAAAAAGCAATTTTAACATGTCATGTGACAACATTCAACGCGGCAAATTACAAAATCTCTCTTTTAATATACAAAAGTTAGATTTAGGTAACAAAATTTCAGATTTTTAAAAAATCTATTTTTTTTAAATTTTAACAAAGTAATTTCAGCGAGAATAATTCTTTATTCTCGCTGAAATATTCGCTATTATCTCTATTTGTTTTGCAACGGCTTATAGAAAAGACAAATTTCAACCTAATACATATATTGATTTTTTTCATCTAGCATAGAATATCAGATTATTTAAAAAGTTTTAAAAAATTAAATTTAAAAGTTACTAATATTAAATCTTGTATGTCTGAAAATTAACATTTTCATTGTTTTTCAATTTATTGTGGAAGAGTACAATAGAACAGAAGCTATTTATATTTAATTTGCTTTGTCTTATGTTATCTGTATCTCATATTTTAGTTTTTCGGAAAATAATTGAAAAAACTGATATTTTTTGAAAGGTGTCATTGTCATTTCAGGTTTTGAAAAGTTTATATTATGCGTCGGTCCGTCCGTCGCGTCGGTCCGTCACTCCAGTCATATTTAAGTATGTGCTGTCATTTTTGAAATAAACCAATAAAATTGCATAAGAACAACGACGAATCACTCACCCTTAAGCTTCATAAAGAACGTCCCAATTAGTGGAATAAATTAGTGGCTTCAATTAGCGTAGAAGTTTGTTCCTGTAATTTGAATGTAAGCATTCAGAACGTCAGAATTAGTGGTAGGAATTTTCAATTAGTGGAAAAAGTTAACAAACTTTTAACTCTTCCACTAATTATACTTTAAAATTTGCGAGGAATGTCATTTTGGCATTTGATTATCATCCGTCAAGACAAAATTTGGTTAGACATCAAAAGTTTATTGTTTTATAAGCTAAATATTAGACTTTTTCTATGGATACAACTGCCTACTGGAAGCTGTTGCTAGGATATTCTATTAATTGTAATTGTGTCTTTTCGACATTGGGGAATGATCGTAAACTAAAATGTATAAAGTGTAATTGAAACCACTAATTGCGAGGTTCTGAATGAAGCTTTAGAATCAATCTTTGAACAACTTTTTTTAAAATTTTCCACATTTTGTCACCTAACCTCACGCTTTGAGTGTGTAGAGGATTTTTGTTATATTTTGCTATGACAGTTGTTGGGGAAATTCTGTAATTTTTTCTTCCTAACTTTAATTATTTAATTTAACGTTTGGTTTTCTGACGTAAATGATTTTATTACAGATCAATGCAATCGTCCTTATCAGATGCCAGGGAAGCACTTATTAATGCAGCAATTGATTGTTTATCAGCCTATAAGTTTTCCCTAAATATGGGCTCTGGATCATCAGGTTTATTAGTTCCAGAATGCCTAAAACTCTTGTCTTTGTATATATCAGCTATATTGAAGCATGCTGCATTTAGAATAGGCAGTTCAACAAGGTACGATAATCACAAAATGAGTAATAATAATAATCTGGAAACGTATTATTTTAATTATATTTTATTTCGCACTTGTCCGTTCTTTTTTTTTCTTTTTTTTTTTTTGTTCTAATCGTTCTCAAAATTCTCGTTTTTCTCGAGACTATTAGAAAAAATGAGAAAATTGAAAATAGAAAAGTGAGATTGATTTTTCAATCTGTTTTGTTTTTGGCTATTATTAAGTTTCAACATTTACTTACTTTTCCTCTCTAATTTTTATTCTATCGTTCTCCAAAAATAAATTATCAAGCATTTTACAACACCAACTTCTTGGATAAAAGACGTTTGATTTTTGAGTCACATTCTTTTTGATAATTCTGTCCCTTAGATTTTTATGATTAAGAAAATATGGAATACATTTTTCATAGGCTTGGTGCATTCTCCGCCGGTGCTGCCACCATCGGAGAATATCGTAAACAACCGGCATATACAAATACACGGGTAAATAGCAAATATACGAAAAAAAAAATTGTATAATTTGTTAGGAATTGTGCAAATTCTAAAAATAAAAATGTTGTTATCTTCAGAATATCTAACTTGTATTATAATTTATTACTGAAGCTAATAAAACTCTAGATGAATTCAACTATGGTAGCGAGCAAATTTTTACGCACCGGTTTTGCTAGTGGGGACATAACTTTGGCTATTTCGGCTACAACGAAATGATTTACATAATTATAATTTTAAAAGTGATTCATAAAAAAGGTAAGCACTAGTTGATTAAAAAAAGTATACCATTAATATTGCAAATTATATTTTATCCTCTCATAGTATACGTCTATTTATTTTTTTTTGATTATGTAATGTATGTTGGTTTTGATCAAATCGGAGTGAGAAGCTGTGAAGCTATAAAATGTTGTTTCGGGAGAGTTGAATATTCGGGAAAGTTGAGTTATTGAATGTTATTGCACGCAACAACCGCGTAGTTACGCCTTCCTTTACGCGTTAACATATTTTCGTCAATTTTATTAACATTTGAAATTCTCACAACACAACGCGACGCCCAGTTCGTTCATTTTTACTACCCGAAATAGCGTTACATCACACAAACCTCGAACCTGAGTGTTTTATAGTTTCAATAACTACACTTGCAACAAATTAAATATTATGATAAAGCTACAATTTCAATATTATTTTAATGCGATCAACAAGAACTGTAACCGGGACGGCATGAAATACCGAGCGAAAACTTCTGATGTCTACCGTATCGAGCGCTGAGGTCGGAATTTTTAAAATCAACTGAAATGCACCAAGCCTATAATAGGCCAGGTTGTATCTTATAACACTATAATATTAATTTTTATCCTAACAGGTTAGACGATCGTGTAAAAGCGATGATAGACTTGAAAACCAAACCCTTACCACTCTTGCTGCAAAGTATATATCCAGATATGTACCCTATACATAACCTCGAAAACCAAGAGGTTATAATAAACGAAGAAGAGGAGCCTGTACCCTTACCGCCTAGGTTACAGTTGACCGCCCGTTGCCTTGAGAACAAAGGCGCCTTTCTTCTGGACTGCGGCGATCAAATCCTGATCCTCGTCGGCCCGAACGTATCCAAGGAGTTTTTGAACGAGGCCTTAGGCGTGCCGGATTACGCTTCCATTACAGACAGTTTTTGTGAAATTCCCTTGCTGGATAATCCATCCAATGCGCGACTGCATAATTTTATCAACTATCTTAACGACGAGAAGTCTTATCCGGCACCGCTGCACGTGATAAGAGATAATAGTCCGAACAGAATAGTTTTCCTGGAGAAACTGGTCGAGGATCGATTAGAGAATTCGCTTTCTTACCACGAATTTTTACAGCATCTTAAAACGCAAGTGAAGTGAAAATTGAGGTAGTCCTTTTTTTAGTTTTCTGTTTAGAAAATAAATGAAGAAGGTTCTTTGAATGAATTTATACCGGGTGGCGATGAGTAGTATTTCTGCCTGTAATCTTTAACTTTTACAGATAAAAATAAATATCAGTTATTCACAGTGTAGCAAAAAGGTTCCCAACAATGGTACTTTTTTGTTATTGAGTTGTCCAAAAAAAGTTTATGCGGAATTTCTTCAGTGCATTTCACACAGATCATTTTGACATATATGTCATGCGATAACTGTCATGGGGGCTGTCAATAATAGCAAAAAGGACACTTTAACTTAATTTTAAACTTTAAAGAGTAAATTTGATCTTAAGAAGAGTTTGATTTTACATCTATGTATAGTTTTTCTGAAGTCAATTGAAATAGATTAGGACTCTCGGCATCGTCTGGACTAACGAATTAAGAGTTCTAGGACTTCCAATTGACTTTGGGAATACTAAGACGTAAAATCAAACTCTGATCAACTTTACTCTTTAAAGTTTTAAGTCAATGATTTCTTTTTGCTACTAGAGCGATTTTTTTCTATCTATTGCCACCTAAAATTAAATAATATTTTCTGTCCCATAATTAATAATTGTAATAAAACAAGAATGTTCATTTTTATTACACAAAACTTGTTGCAATGGCTTTTAAATAAATTAATCTAATATATCGTTTTCTTTTTTTCTGAATGGAGATGTCAGGTCATTTAGAAAGTCTATAAAATTATCATCAATTTTATTAGTTCAAAATTTTGTTTTCTATAGGCCATTACTACAAAACCGGTAGTTTTAAATTAACTGTTTTAAAAAAATATTTAATTTTAATTTTCGATGATAGAGAAAATAATATTTTTTAGACCTTGTATATCTATGAAACTTGGGATACAGACATAATATCAAACCTTTGTTGTATTATTTAACTTCACTTTTTGCATATACAAGGTGGTCCGAACTGTATTCCGGAAACTTCGGCAGTATATTTTGTAGATTAAAATATATAAAAAAGTTCGTATAAATATATATGTCCGAAAATGCTTAGTTCCGAAGATACAGGGTGTAGAAGTTTCATTTTTATTTCGATTTTTTCCAAATAATTTCTGAAGTAATGTCAATATTTGGATGAAAATTGGTGTCTGGTAGTTTTTTGACATGAGAAATTTGATTTAGAGGTCAGTATGACTCCTACTTGTAGAGGGCGTCACCTACATTTTTTTAACTAGTTTGAAGAGTAATAACTTTTCGTCCGTACCTGTATAAAACTACTGATTAAAAAAATATACATTTACCGCGTTTTTTACGTAAAAAAGGTCTCCTGGTAAAAATCGCTGCAAATAATGGTTCTCGAGATATTTGGAATCGAAATTATCAACACGTCATCATTGACATAAATTAAACATGTTGACTAAATAGTTATCAGACTGAAATCATAAATTTGAGATATTTTTGTGTCAAAAGTTCAACAAAAACTGTTTTATCATTTTTATTTTTTGTCAATAATGACATGTATTGACTATTTCCATTCTAAATATCTTGAGAACAGTTGCTCCTAGCGATTTTTACCAAGAGACGTTTTTTAGATAGAAAATCACAGAAATTTTTTCACTCGGTACATTTATACAGGTACGCACGAAAAGTTATTACTATTCAAAACAGTTAAAACTCATGTAGGGGCCGCCCCCTACAAATAGGAGTTAAATTGACATCAAAATCAAAATTTTCATGTCAAAAAACTCCCAAACACCAATTTTCATCCAAATATTCACGTTACTTCAGAAATTATTTAGAAAAAATCGAAATAAAAATAAAACTTCTACACCCTGTATTTCCGAAACTAAGCAATTTAGGACATACATTTATACAAACTTTTTTACTTATTTTTATCTGCAGAATATGCCGCCGAAGTTTCCGGAATACAGTTCGGACCACCCTGTATAATGACGAATATCGTAATTACCCATCATGAGAGATATGACACATTAATATGTTTCTTTTTTATTATTGGAAATTTTGAAGAAATTCCTTCGAGTTATTTAAAAAATTGTGCATTTTTGTTGTTTAGTTTAGGCATAACATGTACACTCCTGGAGAGATAAAAACAAATACTTTATTATTATATTTTAGGTATACTCAAAGGCATTGTCTGTTTAAAATTGGAAAATTACTAAATTTAATTCTTATTGAACTGAAAAAGATACTTCTCATTGTCACCCTGTATGTTTCACGAAAAATAATTTGTTATAATTTCCAGAACACCTATTTTTCTGGAATATACATTCCACCAAACGTGTTAAAACTTTGGAAATAGCACAATAAAGTACACTTTGTAATACTATGGTACTATAAAATTAAATAGGTACAGTATATTCTATCAGGAAACTAAATAAAGCATTTTTTGTATATATTATTAAAGACTTGTTAACGTAAATGTTGTATATAAGGAGAAGGAATTTACTGGTGCCCAAAAATTATTTATATATTTAATTTGGTAAAGTACTATAGGTAATAAACAAATACATTAATAAATGGATTGAAATTACTGTTGTGTAGTTTGTAAAATACTGCATAATCGAAAAAAAAACGTCAAGGTCGGTATGGTACTGCTGATGGATAATAATTTTATATGGGTTTATCTCTACGGTTTATCCACAATCTTTTTTAATTGATCAAAAACTAGCTCTTCCTAGTAGTAAAAATATATTTGAAGCATACTCTATATCTATGAAATTATTTTTAAAATGTGAATTATTTCTGCTCTTTACTTATAAATTATTATAATCACATTATAATATTAGAGAACAACGGCATACGGTCGAGTCGACCGCTCCTGGCACGTATACGTAGACGTAAAGAATCTTTTACGTGTATAAAAAATAGAAAATATAAGAAATGCGCATGCGTACGTAAACGTTTACGTGTTTGTAGGCCGATTCGACCGTATGCCGTTGTTCTCTATTAAAATGTAACAAGTATCTTATAATCAAAATAAAAAAAACGGCGTCAATATATCTTGGTAATTACGATGGATGATATTTACCATATACTTTTAGGTATAATATGACAGAGATCTTCATTTCCAAGCCAATTCTGATGCCGTTTTTTTATTGTATTAGACTGGTTTAGTGAAGATTTAGACTGGTCTAGATGAACCATTTTTCTATATTCAATGAGTCTTGCCAGGTTTTAACGTTTTTTTTTTCAATAAATGGACCTAGAGGTCGATCCGAAAAAAATTATCATTGATCGCAATTTCAGAGGTTACCGTGACGCCGTATTTTTTCGATTATCAGTATATTTGTTATTTACAAAGGACTTATATTTAAGTTAAAGATAAAGCGGTAAATGTTTTATGTTTATTAATCTGCTGGCCTATAAATTAAGAGATTTGTTGCTCTTATCAAAAATATAGACACTTGTAAATAGTTATAAACGTACGCTAGCTACACTTGTCATACTTCTGGTTATAGTTGATAAAATCAGGATTGTTCGTTTGGATCTTATTTCAGAACATTATATAATTTACTCAGAACATTTTTTTACATATGGTTCGGTATCGTCCTTTATTATGATATTTTTAATTATTGTGATATGTTGTTTGCTTGTCACCCTTTTTGATCGAAATAAACTAGCAATAACTAAAAAAATTGTTTTTTTTCTGTACTAGCTGGTACTAGAAGGGTACTAGTTAGTGTTGTTTTTTTTTTGATAGATTAGTTTTACAGGAATTTTTAAATTTTCCAGTTGAAGAAAATCATAAATTGACAATTCTACGAAATTTTGAAGAAATATATATGTATATTAAAATTGTCATGTTAATATTAATAATTAAATAATGTTAATAATAAATTCTGATTAAAACGTTATCAGTACATTTTGCAGTTCCTTTGTATTTTCTTGGTGTTCTCTTTAATTTTAATGTGTTCTAATGAGATAAAACTCTTATCTCTGCCTAGCTAGCACATGGCCAGCACACATCTGCCTAGCTAGCACATGGCCTGCATGGCCAGCACATATTAAGAAGAGTAAAAAGCGCAGTATCACCTGTATGGAGTCTAAAAGGAGGAGGCGAATCGAACGCAAAAATTATGGGCCCAGTTTTTGAGATCTAAATGAAGTTCGAAAATCGCCGTTAGGGGCGCTTGTGATGATTGGGATACTAGAAATACACAGCTTCTTATGGCAAGAATAACTATTTTGTTATAAATTATAGAGCCAAGTTAATATTTGGGATATTTTTACCAGAGTTAGCTTTTAGAAACGTGGTTTTTCTAATTGAGCAATGTGCGTGGCTAAAATTGTGAATACAAAACCTTAAATTTGAGTTTGAAAAGTTAGTTAGGTTATATTAGATGCCGGTTTAATATATCCTTTTCCTAAGTTGATATTATAAAAATGTTTTATTATGTGGTTCTTTTTAGTGCATACACGACCGAAGAAACATATAAGCTGCTAAAATAAATCTTCCCTAGAACTGTTGTACAAAAAAGATAGAAGTTCCAGCAACAAATTTATCACCAGTTCAACCTTTGATTTGATGTAAACAGTAATTGTTTCTTGATGAGAAATGCGAATGAAATAGTTTATGGTGTGATTGTGTTAGTGTTTTATTAATAGTTTTGTTGATGCAGTTTAAAGGTTCATAGTTTTTCATTAAAACATTTGAAATTGACATGTTTACATGCAGTTTAGTGTGATACCATTTTAATAAACATTAAAATCTTTCGAACTAGTAGTGGTTTTATGGCGATTGACAGATTGAATAACGAAAATTAAGAGTATTTTATCAGGAATAACTTAATCATAAATGGAAACTGAAGACGAACGTTACCATTGCACCCTTTGATCGGTGTTATCTATTCCATAACTTTTTATAGCTGAAACTAGAGAGTAGGTATATTGAGCTGAAACGTTTCCTGTGTTCAATAGCGTTTTTTCTAGCGTTGAATTGTAAGTTTTAATGTCATTAGCAAAGTTTTGCAAATTGTCACTGTTTCGTAGACAATTAAATTCAAGATATATTATATTCAATGTCACCTAATAATTGTAAAGGTTTTTCTATTGATATTCACTTTATTAATATAAGGTAGGTTTGTAAATAAAATATTAATGAATAAATAATGTACTCAGTTTATTTCAAAAGCACAAAAATACAGAGTTGTGAATATGTATATACGCTGACTTATTTCATCATATAAATATTTATTTAGCAATATTAATACATTACAACTTTTGTTTCTATTAACTAATTCCACTAAATTTAATAAATAAAATATACAATATATAAATTTAATATACAATTTAGCACTTAGATATTAAATATCTATATGTACTATGCCAAAAAATAAAACAGGAACATCATATTATATCAAGAACACAAAAAATTACAATTTAAAAAAAATGCATTCTAAAAAAATACCTAGCTACAATATACCTACATATTAATTTAAAGAGCTTATTCATATTCATAAAAACTATTCTAAATGGTTTATATACACAATCAAAAGTATCAACCACAATACAATAATTTTCAAATTATTTCTTATTATTCCTCAATGAAAAAGCGTCTTGCGACGGCTAGTCAAAAATCTAAATAATTTTTATAATAAATTTACAATCTGACATATGCAAATATGTCAGTAGTAATACGTAATTTTACTTTATGAAATTACTACATCTAGAACCGATTTTAAAAAATTGTACAAATTTTCACCCCTAATAAAGAAAATGTAGTTCACAAACAGCATCTTTGCTGCTAAGTGTCTTGTCTGATCTGGGTATCGCCTTTTGCCACTGCTGTAGCAAGCTAGGATCCTAATAAAAGATATATAATTGTTAAATAAAATAAAAAAAAAACATTTTTCACTATTAAAGCTGTTATTTTGAGAATACGATCTTGAAGTATAAATATTTAATATTCACTTTCAATAGCACTGTTCAAACTGTGGTTAATATAGGTACATGTCAACAGGTAATTTTAGCACCTAGTAAGTATTAAATTATTTTAATTTTATAACAAGGCCTCCTAGGTTATGTTATACACATGTTGATTTTAGGGCTATATTTCCTATTAATTTGGTTTATAATTTAATCTGTACACTGACAGTATATAATTTTAATGTTTTTCTTAACATCTATCCATAATTTTTATAAATAAATAGTCATACTACTTACATTAGGAGCTTTGAAAAGGCTTGGGTTTCTTTCACCCCGTTCTTTATTTGCCTTGTTTTTATTGGGATTCCCACTTGTACAGCCAGGTACAAAGCAATTTCTACCACGACTCATTGTTGTACTGCTAAAAATTCAGTAAATTAACTATAAATTTTATTAAAAACACAATTAAATCGTATACTAACAATGAAAATGTAGTATCCCAGTCGATCGCAGTGCCTCTGCTGTCAAACCGAGGAAGCTGCTTAAAAGTGGGGACAGAAATTTCAAATTTGCCCATTGCCGATAAATCTCCTTTTTTAAGCCCTCCATAATCACCTGGTATCACACAAGTTTTCCACATTCCTTGTCCTTGATGACGTAAGTTGTTTAAACGTAGAAAACATTATTTTATATTAATATTTATTACATACCCATCCTTGATTTACGAAAGTCATATATAAAAGTTTTTTAGGTTATTTGACTTAATGTCATTATATATGATTCAAATGCCATTTGTTTTGGTGTTTGTTGACGTTCACAAAGTCAAAATCGCGTCAAAATACAAAAGTTCCAAAAGTCTGTGATATTCGATATATTTTTTTATTAAAAAGGTTATAAAACTAATGAGAAATTTACCAAGACGAAATGAATATCTTGATTTGGACGGTCATAATATAGGTAAGTCACAAGAAAAGTTTATATTTGCTATATTTTCTTTGTTTTGTTATTATTATATTCTTGGGTTTTAAATATAAAGTAGGCACACTTTCATGGAATACAAATTTATTTTTATATGGCTGATGTACTTCATATCGTATTTACATGGTATTTACATTATTATTACATGTTAGGTAAATTACAAGCAATGGCATACCTGTTAAAGCTAAATTAACTTTTTTTCTGCTTTGTTTTGTTTTGAAAATTCCGAGTTTATTTTCTTAATTGATATTAATTTTTGTTCTGTATTTATTTTTTTATCAAATTTTAAAAATATGGTAGAGTCCCATTTACGGAAGAAGACAAATGCGTCATCGTCATACTGTAAATATTCTACGAGTTAAGAAAATAAACGTATTTCTTTGATAAATTCATTTAATAATGCTTCTCGTTTTGTTTTGATTATCTGCGTTCTGGGAAAGGTTCTGCGCCTAAAAAGCTTCTACGTCACTCATGACAAGAGCACTTTTGCTTTATTTTTGTTTAGTCCAAGGAAAGAACTATATTAGTTTTTAGAAAAACCCAAGAGATGTCTCAGTCCAGTGGCGGATCCACGGGGGTGCTTCAGGGGCTCAAGCCCCCCTTGAGTTCAGTCAACTAATACAATATTATTAATTTATTTTGTCACAAACGACTCTGGACTATGTACTTTGAGTAAAGGCTTTAGAGTTCAGCCCCCCTCCCCCCTTTCCCTAAACCTGGATCCGCCCCTGTCTCAGTCTAACACATTTAAGTATAATTTCCGTATGTCTTTCCTTTATTAAAATTATTAAAATATTCTGACGGAACATCTTCCGGTAATTGGACTAGGACTAGCTTACTACAATATTATGATTAGTTATGATATGGTTTTAATGTTTTAAGGTAAATTATTTTAAGGTATATTATTATATTATGCTTTGATATATGTACTAGGAAAAAAAATGTTTGCCATTAACAGTAATTATTATTTATCCGTGTCTTCTATGATTATGTTTGTGCTCATTGGTCTTATAATTTCTATGCTCTTGAAAATTATGATGTATTGAATCATGGTACTTGTTTTTCACATCTTCAGCAAAAAATTCTGTTTTATATTCAATAATGTTCAAATAGGTATCAATTTCTCTATTGTTTGGTTTTGACTCTTGTTTGGAATTCTTGTTATAAGGCTGATTGTGGTGCAAGTTCCTCCAATACTCGTTGGATAATTTCCTAATACCTTCTATGTACCTATTCACTAATATGTCAATTGATGGGTCAAAGGGTGTAGTATTGTTAGGATCTGGGGTAGTAAAATTAGGATAATTTGGAGTGGTATAATTAGGGTAGCTTGGAGTAGTATAGTTAGGATTATTTGGAGTAGTGAAGTTGGGATAATTTGGAGTAGTATAATTCGGGTAGTTTGGTGTAGTGTAGTTTGGGTAGACTGGAGTAGTGTAGTTAGGATTATTAGGAGTAGTGTAATTAGGATAGTTTGGAGTAGTAAAATTAGGATAATTTGGGGTAGTATTATTAGGATAGTTCGGCGTAGTGTAGTTAGGATAGATTGGAGAAGTGTAGTTAGGATTGTTAGGAGTAGTGTAATTAGGATAGTTCGGTGTAGTAAAATTAGGATAATTTGGGGTAGTATTATTAGGATAGTTCGGCGTAGTGTAGTTAGGATAGATTGGAGTAGTGTAGTTAGGATTGTTAGGAGTAGTGTAATTAGGATAGTTTGGAGTAGTAAAATTAGGATAATTTGGAGTAGTATTATTAGGATAGTTCGGCGTAGTGTAGTTAGGATAGACTGGAGAAGTGTAATTAGGATTATTAGGAGTAGTGTAATTAGGATAGTTTGGAGTAGTAAAATTAGGGTAATTTGGGGTAGTATTATTAGGATAGTTCGGCGTAGTGTAGTTAGGATAGATTGGAGAAGTGTAGTTAGGATTGTTAGGAGTAGTGTAATTAGGATAGTTTGGAGTAGTAAAATTAGGATAATTTGGGGTAGTATTATTAGGATAGTTCGGCGTAGTGTAGTTAGGATAGACTGGAGTAGTGTAGTTAGGATTGTTAGGAGTAGTGTAATTAGGATAGTTTGGAGTAGTAAAATTAGGATAATTTGGGGTAGTATTATTAGGATAGTTCGGCGTAGTGTAGTTAGGATAGACTGGAGAAGTGTAGTTAGGATTGTTAGGAGTAGTGTAATTAGGATAGTTTGGAGTAGTATAATTAGGATAATTTGGGGTGGTATTATTAGGGTAGTTTGGTGTAGTGTAGTTAGGATTATTAGGAGTAGTATAGTTAGGATAGACTGGAGTAGTGTAGTTAGGATAGACTGGAGTAGTAAAATTAGGATAATTTGGGGTAGTATAGTTGGGGTAGTTTGGCGTGGTGTAGTTAGGATAGACGGGGGAAGTGTAATTTAGATAATTTGGAGTAGTATTGTTAGGGTAGTATGGCGTAGTTAAATTTGGCGAACCAGATGACGTATTGTTAGGGAACATTGGAGTAGTATAGTTATTATTAATGGATTGAGTAGTATTTGACAATGATATAATTTTATCTTCCGCATCCAGTATATCAGAATCTTCTATCTTTTCAACGTTGTCGTAATGAAGTTTTATAAAATCTTCATTTGACTTAGATATTTCTTTTGATGCAGTTCCGTACACGATCTATTTGTGAAATAATAGATGCGTTAGTATATTTGTATAGTAGAGTCTAAAATATGCTTACCATCAGGCCAGTTATGGCTATCATCACATTTCGTCCCATTTTAAACGTCTTCAACTAGGCTTGTTTAAATGTAATTAATATTATGAGTCAAGGAAATTAAAATATCAAGTGCTCTGGCCGTTTCATTTTACCTTTATATTAACGAGCCAAAGATTATTTTCCTTATCTATTGATCTGTACTTGATTAGTCAATGTCACATTAACGCAGGTGGTATTTCTGTATTGAATTTAGTATTAATCATATTAAATCGTATATTAACACAAATCGTCGATAACTCAAAATATGTAAATCAGTATTTACTTTGAAAAGCCATTTAATTACGCTATTTTTCTAAATTTCCAGAAATTCGTTGGCATTTTAAATCCTTCCACATTGTTTTGCACTCTTTTCGGTATCAAGATAGTAATTAATGAAATCTATTTTGTATTTTTTTTAATAAATCATGGATGATATGCATTAAAATTAAATTATAGGTAGCTGAAAATTATACGTTAAGCATAGCATTAAATAATGGCTATTCTCGCTGCATTTTTCGCTACAGACATAAAACTATAAAATACTATTTTACATTTACGGTAAAATACTACTGCATCGGATTCTGAAATGGTTGGACGAATTCTGGCTGGAACTTGAAATCGGATTCTGTATATTTGTTGGACTGGGACACAGGTCATAAAATGGACTTAAATAAAGGACAGTTGAAAAAGTGTTAAATATACTCCGAGGTATATTATTTTATCATTGAGAGCAGTACTAAGATTTGTACTACATAAGTTACAAACGACACCAGAATTGGATTATTCTTGTAATAGAACTGAACATTTTATTAGTTACTACATACTTTCGTTTTGGCATTATTAAATGCTTAAATTTGTTGGTAAAATTTAGTATAATTCATTAGACAGCAATATATCCAAACCAATTTACCGGTTGCATATTAACAATTAGCATGAGCTAAATTAGCTCCTACGAGTCAGGGAAAATTTTGACAGATGACATCCAAAAAATGACAGAAAATACAATTTACTTGTAAACAGGCACAGCTGTCATTGTCATGGTTAGGTTAGGTTATAGGTATCTACTCGTTGGACAGTGGTTGTAACTGATAAGACAATGGTTGTAACTGTTGACTTATATTCACAAGATGCACATAATTATAACAAAATCTGTGTGGTAAATCCAGCCCTGTTAGCTCGTCTGATGATGGGGTATAGGCCCCGAAACCATTAACGAGAGGGTGGTTGGTTTCCTCATAACGGCAAGCAAACATAACTTTTTGATATTTTCAATTTTTCATTATTTTTGAAAGCTGAAAATTTTACAAAACAGTTTTGTGGCAAGAAATCTATACTAATATATAAAATCCTTAAGTGACTCACTGATAAATCACGATCCTGCTCAAACCACTCAACGTAAGAAGCTCAATTTTGGCATACAGGTCGATTCTAGGGTAGAGGTTCGATAAGAAGGGATTTTTCGAAATTCCAATTCCAAGGGGGTGAAACCACCCCTAAAATATTACAATATTTTTTATTTAAAAAACGGCCAAGTTTCCGAAAAAAACACTTAAAGACGTATATTTTTTTACATATTTTAAGATTTTTTAAAATTGTATACGGGGATTTCGAAAAATCTGGTCATTGATTAATCACGATCTGCTTAAAGCGCTTGACGTAAAACGCTGATTTTTGGAAAACGGATTGACTTTAGGGTGTAGAGGTTCGATAAGAAGGGATTTTTCGAAACTCGAATTCTAAGGGGGTGAATATAATATTTTCCCCCCAAATATAATATTTTCTACTTAAAAACCGGTGAGTTTTTCGGAAAAACTCTTAAACACGTATATTTTATTTTGTTGTTTTACATATTTTAAGATTTTTTAAAAATTTATACAGGGTGTTTTATAAAATATGACCATTGAGTAATCACGATTCTGCTTAATCTGCTTGACGTTTAAGGCTGATTTTTGGCAAACGGATTGACTGTGGGGTGTAGAGGTTCGATAAGAAGGGGTTTCTCGAATCCCAAATTTCAAGAGGGTGAAAACGCCCCTCAAATATTACAATATTTGTTATTTAAAAAACGGTTAGTCTTTCGGGAAAACGCCAAACGTGTTCCAAAAAGTTGGGTAATTGATTAACCACGATTCTGCTTAAACTGCTTGATGTAAAAAGCTTATTTTTGGCAAATGGATTTTTCGAAAGTCAAATTCTAACGAGATGAAACTACCCCTCAAATATTACCAAGTTATATAATAATATCGCCATATTGTTTTTCTCATGCTGACATAAATGTGAGTAAATTTTATCCAGTTTGTACGTTAATGGAAATTCTTGCTTTGCTTTATTATCACCATTACAAATAATTAATTCGACGCGAACGAAGTCGCGGGTACACGCTAGTACTTTTATATAAATATTACATATTTATACTGCAAATATTCACTTTTTATTTTATATTATAGCAAAATAAAGACGAAATGTCTGTATTGGCTCAAATTATTATGGACGAATCTCTGATGGCTCCAAAGAACCGGGAATTCCCAGTACTTTCGAGACTTGGATTTTGCGGTTTTGAACGCTATTGGACAAAATATCTAATGTGTTACCGAAATAGTTAAATTTAGTAATTTTAAATATTTATTAGCCGACCATACCAATAGGTATGGTAGGCTATTAAGATCGGCAAAAAAAAAGTTTTTTTAATTTCACTCAAAATGAGTTATTTGGGTCATAAATGACCTAAATACAAAATATTTTCATGGTGTCTGTCTGTCTGTCTGTCCGTCTGTCCGTCTGCCGTCTGTAACACGATAACTCAACAACCGCTGAACCGATTTTAACCAAATTTGGCACAAAAATTTTGTGGCACCCGAGAATCTGGCCATTAGTTTTTGGTGGGGGTGGGGGGTTGGTAATAAGGGGGTATGGGAGGGTGGTTAAAAATTTAAAAAAATCGTAACTCCAAAATTACAGTAACTAGCGAAACGCGGTTTTCAAATTAAGATTAGGAATAATATTTGCAACAAAATTTGTAATAACATCAAAATCAGTAAAAGTCGCAGTTTTCGAGATATTAACATATTTTAGTATGGGCGGCTATACGTGCCTCCCGGCGCCAATTTTTCATTACTCTTTTTCGCTTCTGGATAGAAAATGAATGAGTGTTAAGGTAGAGCTAGGGAGTGTAATAGATTTTTAAAATTTGACTAGAGCTTGAAATGATTAGCCTAAAAAAGAAGTATCGCGTGCTACCCCACCTCCGGACATGACGGGGAAAAATTAAACTGGACGGGGTTCATCAAAGAGAGATATGATGACATCTAGATGGGAGCGGCGCCGTTTCCTATCTTTGCCGCAACTGTGACGCAAGGACAAAAAGCAGGGACACGAAAAGGGCGTGGATACCGATGTACAGAGTGAATAAGGAGAAATAACGATAACTGAAATTGATAAACAGATTTTTATACATTAGGAATGCCAAAGAACCGTGCGATTTTTTCACTAGCCTGAGTTACATTTTTGCAAAACAAAATATGCCTCAAACAAAAGTGTCAACTTATTTCTTAATTTTTATGAGACATGGTAATTTTGAAAGTCTTGAAATTTCGGGTCAATCAGTTGCCTGAGTGATATTTTTTTTTATATTATATAGTATACAGGGTGTTACAAAAAACATGTGCCATTTCTCGTGAGGATATTCCTCACGTAAAAATAAGATTTATTTTTCATATCAACATAGGTCCGATTCTGCTTTGTTTTGTAGCTACAGGGTGTTAAAGTCTTAATAATCTTTCTATTTATTATAATTTACTTCCAAGTACTTTTAGTGATTCGAATGACATTCTGAGGATAAAAGTTACTATAAGTGCTATATATTTTAATGCTATAAAAGTGTCGATAAATTCATCAGGGACGTGCATATGGGTTATCACTGGAATATTTTTCAAAAAAAACATGTGCGCCACAGACTTTTTTTCTTTTGATATCAAAATTGTGTAGACCGTTTAACGACAATTAAAAGTTAACTCTTGATATTTTGTCTAATTCGCCCTCCTTGATAAGAAAAACGCAATTTTATTAATCACAATTAATAAAATTAAAATAAAAATAAAATTAATAAATTATATATTTTACCTAATTTATTATTAAATATTATTACTATTAGTTATTATTACTATTAATCCAACCTGCAGCAATTTCAAATAAAAAATAATGGTATTTAAAATAATTTCAAAAAACCTAATTTTAATAAGTTTTAACATCCTGTAACTCTGAAACTATGCATTTCCATAACCATGTTTATAGGAACTTTTTTTAATATTTTTTGATGAGGAATCAATGAGTACTTATTTAAAACCTACTCAAGTTAATGATATTACATTTTTTATAGGTTGCTATTAGACTTGGATCAAGGCAAATTAATAAAATTGCGTTTATCTCATCAAGGAGGTCGAAATCGGCAAAATATCAAGAGACAACTTTTAATCGGCATTAAACTACTTACACTATTTCGCTTACAAAAGGAAAAAAAGTCAGTAGCGTACATGCTTTTTTTAGAAAAATATTCCAGTGATAACCCATATGCACGTCCCTGGTTAATATGTTGACACTTTTTTAGCTTTAAAATATGTCGCATTTATAGTAACTTTTACCCTTAAAATTTCATTCGAAACGCTAAAAATACTTGGAAGAAAATTATAATAAATCGAAAAAATATTACTTTAACACCCTGTAGCTACGAAACAAAGCAGAATCGGACCTATATTGATATGAAAAATAAATCTTATTTTTACGCGAGGAATCTCCCCACGAGAGATGGCACATGTTTTTTGAAACACCCTGTATAGTATATACGTATGAGTCTTAAATAAGTGCAAACATTTTCAGGGTTTGTAGATCTCTATAAAAGAAACATATTTTCTCTTTACCGTTTTTAAAATAAATCCAAATAACTGAGTTATTTTACTTTGAAAATTTCAGCAAAAAGATTTTTTGCTAAAATTTTGAGAACCACTGGATCTTTTCTGGATTTTCTTTATTGTAAATTTAATCTACTACCTATGTTGTCATATTATCAAGAAATTATGTTTTTTAACTAAAAACTTCCTGTGTACCCTGTATTTACCCACTGAGTAGCCGGATGCAAAACATCGGGT